GGTGCTCATATGACCTTATGCAGTTGCGAGCGCTGTAACTGTAAAACCTCTACTAAAGCTTTAAAAAAAAGGGAAAGGAGCCAAGAGACTGAACCAATAGATATAATATATATAACCACCTGGCAGTAGCCATCGACAGGCTCGTCTGAGCTTACACAAATGCGTGTTTTTTTTTAACCCTTTCTGGAGCAAGTGTGAATGTATGAGATTTTGACATCCACTTGTTCACGCTACCCCTACCCCCTGATGCCCTTTTCCTAAACTCTTTCCACCCTTCTCGCAGTCACACAGACCATCACAAAAGACTGAAAATATACATAACTTTTATAAAAACTGATTGCCTCTGCTGTTTTCAACTGTTTCACTACTTACATTACAATATGTACGAAATCACAAACACCAGTGCAACAAAAGGATTGGATAAACACATTTTTGTTTTAGTAAGAGTTCGGAACTTGCAACACGGTAAGTCATACAAGTGCCGAAGATTAGAGGGGCTATAGTTACAAGAGACGTAACAAACACAAAAAAGGAGATCATAACAAGGATGACAGATGTTTGGTAGGAAAGAAACAAACCACTGTTAACCACACTAGAGCACCCATCAAACACCCGTGGACAAACTGACACCTGCTAATAACTGTCTTTGGTAAAGAGGGGGAAAATAATGGAGATCACCACTTCTAGGAACAGCAACATAGCACAAAACTGCTGAATAGTATAGACGGTAACAAATCTGAGGTTGAGGGTTTGGGAGTTCGAGCCTCAGGCCATATAATGTGTCCTTGGGAAAGGCACTTTACACAAATCGGGTAATAATAATATACAGATTGTAAAGCGCATAGAGCTGTTGAACAGAGATTTGCACCATACAAATGCTATTACAGTGGAACTCGGATTCAACGAGGGGAGATGGATTCCCCATTTTTTTTCTTTTTAAAATCAATAAAAGAATAACCCGGATTCAACGAAAACTTAAATCAGCAAGCTCGGATTCAACGAGGTCGCTTCCAGAGTGAACAGCCCCCGCAGACGTGGCTTCCCTCATTTTTCTCCCACAACGAACTTTACTTATTCCCGAAAACCATCCATTGCACCAGCATCGTGAACCGTTATTCACTTAGCCGATGACATGCGACCAATCAGTGGCCTTTTTTGTACCAACACATGCGTTGTTGGCATGCGCGTGTCGGGGTCGGATTCGCGGCCAGCACACATGTTACTGTGTGTGCCTGTCGGGGGGGGGGGGGGGGAGGCGGCACCCTCGATCCAGGAGTGGAACGTCGCAGGGATACAAACACGTCATGACACAGGCATGCATTTGAACGAATCGGGTCTTTTTTTTTTCACAGTTTATAATATGCAGATATTTCAGGCACCATGTGTTAAATGTGACTTCTCTTTATATAATTATATATTACTTGGTCAGTGCCTGTATTTATCTCTACACAAAACCTCCTGTTTGCTATGAACGAATACTCATCAGACTCAACGCGATTTTAGGTCAGGCCCGGCGACCTCGTTGAATCCGAATTCCACTGTATCTATTTAAATTTAACTATCTTGCCAGATGAGAATGGGTACCTGGCCATAGATAGCGAAAGATCTTGTAAAATGACAGCTTGCACTGTATGATTCCTTGGAGGTTGATATTGTTTCAGAATGCTATCAAGTCTACTGGGGTAATAATATAGAATGGAAAGCGCATAGAGCGGCTGACAGGAATTTGCACCATAGAAATGCTACTACTACAGTGGAGTCCACTTATAACGAGTCCTGAAACAACGAGAAGTCTGTTATAAAGACACTATTCTAAAAAACCCTTTTTTCTCCTTCTTTATCTTTGTAAATAAAATACTGCTATTGCGCAATCAGACAGTCACGCGAGTCGGTTATAGCGGAATACTGCTGCTGCACAGACCAATTAAACATTATAAAACCTTGCCAGTTGAGAAAGTTGTCGGTGATCCAGCGAAACAAAGAATGGGAGAGCCCACGCGAACCAACAATGAAGGCCAGAGCGAATGAGTGGGGAGGGCGTGGCATGCACAGACAAGCAGAACGCATCGCGTGATAGGCCAGCCCAGTCTAGATTATCTAGGCATACCGTGCCTCTCACTTCTCTGGTGCGGGATGGAGAGGTCACAATGCTGTGAGATGGATAGAGTGAATGTGTGACGTGCGCAAGCAGACGCAACGCACCACAGTGTGTGGTGGGGTGGGGTGTCCACACAGCGGGCGAGTCAGCCTATAGCCAGAGCCCCTTCTTTCTGAACGCCAAGGCCAATTCGTCAACTTTGCTAGTGTTAGAGAAAGAAACCTGATTCGATTTTTGATCAAGTAAGACCTTGAGATCATGTTGAACAAATCATCATCAGGGGAAATACAAAAAGGAATAAACAGAACGCCAAACTCACAGATTAGGCGTCCTTTACTAGTTTCCTCGAATTTATTATTGGATCCCTTGTAACGAGAATTCTGCTATAGCGGACTTTTTGCACCGGTCCCCTCCCTCTCGTTATATAGAACAGGATTCCACTGTATCATTATAGTCTATTTTCTATTTAACCCTATCTGTGTACATCATGTTTTACAATCGTATCCATACGACGTGGGGAACTCTGTGCCACCACTTTCCAAAATTCTAAAATGTGAAGAATACACACCCGTAATGACCCCAGGGCGTACGGATAGGGTTAAATAAACTATCTTGCCGTTGAAAATCTTCACATGATGATTAGACAAGTCCACCATGCAGTAACCAAAGAGTGGTACACTCCACCCCTTCGTTGCCCGGGGTTATGCTTTCCTATTGTCTGCACAATTCCCAGGTAAGCTCTATAGCCAGGACAGCAGTGTCATGTTTCAGTGTTAGTGGACTCACAGTCTTGATCTGACCCACTCATGACACATTTTTTACCCCGGGTCTTCGACAGTGTCACTATTCTCATTCCCAGTATTCCCCATCTTACTCTTAATTTTTTTAAACTTGCAAATATCTAAGTCAAAAAGTGAAATTGTCATTTTGGTGTTTATGTTTAGCGAGAGCAAGTGTTCCTTAGCAAGACCAGACCACTGTTTATCGATCGCTTGCAAGCGTGGCAAATTTGGTACTGTACCAATATGTGCATTTTTTATTCTCGAATATAACCATGCTGTGCTTGTGGCTTTATCTCCATAGAGAAAAATGAAAGCCAAATGATTAGTGTGACATACAAGTAACGACATTTAGGCAACCAGGAACAGAAAATTTGGCCAACTTCCATGTCGTACATGATATGGCACAAAGCTAAAAATTGCACATTTTCATGACATACCAGCTAGATTATCTATGTCATAAGACAACAAAGGGGTTAAAAAAGAATTTTGCACTCATGTTCAAATCCTCCAAAATGACATCATAGCCATGAGGCACAAGAACAGTTGAACCTGCCTTAATGGAAACCTCTGCAAGACGAAAACCTGTCATAACAAAATCTCCCGACTCCCCCATTGTGATAAATTCCTCTTTAATTACCTTTATAAAAAGGAAACCTGCCCAACACAGAAACGGAAAGACAATTTCTTCCCCTTGGAGGATTAAATACAGAAAATAGAAAATGTTTTGCCCACTCAGCCCTGATTTGAAACAAACTGGCTGCATTGGCTTAAACCTTTATCATTATAAATTATTATGCCATGCTGCCAGGCAAGGAAAGGGAGCAGGGGTGCCACTTACACTAGGGTAGAGTAGACGTTACCCCATCCATGTGAGCCCTGAGCAGTACAGATGGTCAGGATGGTGTGGGAGTGAAATCTCACCAGTGTCTGTGAAGAAAGTGCTCAAGTGGTGCTCCAGCAGGGAAACTTTCCTGAGCAGCCAGAGCTGTGGTGAGACTAGTTTGACCAATCATCACTTTTGAACTATTTTGTCCAAAGTGTCGTTACGACAAGTAAAGAGACACTTTAGCCAAAATAGTTCCGAGGTGTCGCAATGCTCGCCCCTCTGATCATGCAGCCGTTCGAGAAAAAAGTTCCTCTAATCGTTCGATACATGCACTCACAGCATTGGCTGACTGTTTATTGCACTGATGGGTGGGGCTAAGGGAAGTAAAGGAGATGTTCCGTTTCTATTTTTAATAGATCAAACAGTGGTCCTGTGAAAAGCAAGTACCGGTGGCAGTGGTAAGTAGGACTGGATACATGCTGCTATCAAGAGATGGGATAGTACTTGAGGAGAGGTGTGAAGTTTTGACCACTGCTTGCCCACCAGACAAACAACCTTCGATTCCACCGGCTGGGCCTCTCTGAAGCCACCGAAATTCCCTTGTCTGAGACATAATTTTTTCTGGATCCCTTGCGATTCCGTCTTCCACAGGTTCTACTGAACTGATATTAAAGAAGTGGAGAAAACTGAACCTGGTAAGCCTAAGATAATTTGCACTAAATGTGTAACACTAATGTCATTTTCATAGCTACCACAATGGTTACTTTTCAACTAAAAACACCAGACAACTCAAAGTTGAGCGTTGTGAAACATGACGGCAAGCCATCAATCTTTTCTTTAATATTACCTTGTCGAACACTACCTAAGTGAAAACTAGGCAGGTTTGTCAGATGCAAATTATGAGTGCCACAGCAGTAGTGTACCATCAATCTAGACAACACGATTTACAAAAGTTTTCCACCTCAGTCCCTTTTTCCTTCAATTAACACTGCACAGGATAAGATAGTACTACACTCTGGGACCAATCTATCTGTCCCTCTCTTGTGGTGCTTTTACCCCCCAAGCAACAAAATGCATTCACCAACCACAACTAGCTCATTCCCTTGCAAGTCCTTCAATACGTCATTCTATGCTGTTTAAATTTTAAGTTGGATAAACAAATAAGACTGATAGCAGTCAACAAAGCAACAGGAAAATTGTTCTTCATCCACATATAATATCATAGTTCAGATTTGGCATTCAAAAAATGGAAGGTCACACAATAAAATACCAAAATAAAACAACAACCAGACAATCATGAACTCAGCCTCTTTTATTGTGAACGTTTTAAAAAGTGACCTACATTAACAAAAAGAATGAGAAATGCAGAACAATAACTTTTGAATCATTTTTGCAAGGTCACAGCAATTTAGGAGCCATCTATTTCAATTAAACAAAAGACGTGCCAAAGGCCCTGACCCTTAGTACTCAGAAGCAGGAACAAGACATCCAAGTTTTAAAAAACAAACAATACAGGTAAAACAAAATACACAGGAAAAAAAAGTACAACTGTATGAATTTTAAAAGTATATATCCAATTACTTTCCACCCCTGTGAGTGGGAGCTGAAGCAGTGGGAGGAGGAGGTGGGCCTTTGGTGTCCAGCTCATCAATGTGGGACATCAAAATTTTGCGCCGCTCCTCCGGAACACAGTCAAGGGTGAGATAACGTTTGTCATTCTGAAAGACAAGTAAACATTTTTTCAAAACACATTGAATTTTAGAGTCAAAGCTGCAATATGAGAAAAAAATATAAAGACAGGATATCTTGACCACGCTGAAGGGGAGACGCACACTCCTGGAAAACTGATCTAAACGAATTACTTTTATTCACTTTTATGTAATTGTGCAAAAAGTTCACAGGTAAATAAGATGTACTATGGGGGTTTTTTGGTGGGTTTTTTTGTAAAGTGTTTTACGGCGCTCGCAACTGCATAGGTCATATGAGCGCGCGGGACACACCTAATATTTTCAGTCGGTAGGAAATTTTGAACTTTGCCCGGGTGGCGGCCGAAACCTACTCTTATCGATTTTAGACCACCAAGGGATCTTTAACGTGCGCAACTTGCACACGGGCCCTCCGAGATTTTTCGCCCTTGTCCGAGAAGGCCAGGTGTAGATCTTTCCTACCAGAAGATCAGGGATGTGGCAGAAAGACAGTAGTAAGGAGGAGCCAAGGAGAAGCAGGAGAAAGGCTGCAGAAAGAGTCAGGAGCCCAGAGGAGGGGGCAAAGGAGGTGAGGGGGTGGCGGCAGAAAGTGGAAATGAAAGCAGACAACAGAACATTGCTAGAGAGCTGGAAAGGAGCTGAAAGGAGACAATTGTAGAGAAGAAAATTTTTCAGTCGCTACCCGGATTCGAACCCGGGACCTTTGAATGAGAGGCCAACACCTTAACCTCTAGGCCACGAGAGCCCCCGTACTATGGGTGAATTTGTTGATTTTTTTCTGAAAATTGGGTCTCTGTGGAGGCCATCTTAGATTTTCAGACCAGTTTTTTAGTGTGAAAAAATTTCATCGAAAATATTGAAACTACAGCCTGAAATTTGGCACACAAGTGCAAACCTATATGGACTGTGGATCTTTGTAAGGATTTTGACCATCTTTAAAAATACAAATGTGAGCCCAAAGTCAATGGACCCCCGAGAATCAGTTGACGAAACTTTGGGGTATATGTTACAAAAAATGTGAATATTTCCACAAGTGACCTATATTACTCAGTTTCCTCACATGGACCCTCAGAATAGACCTTAAAGCACTTGCATGCCAAAATTGGAAGCTTCTAGCTCCAGTAGTTTTTGAAAACTCCTTGCACCAAGGAGGTCACATATTATGTCAAAAGGCAGATTATGAGAAAAACGGAAAAAAGGAATTTTTTAAAGGATTTTTTGTTCAATATGCACTTTTCAAACGCCCTTTTAGGTCAGTTAGGGTGTTTTTTTCCAACAGTTTCGTCATTGTGACCCGATAGAACAGATATCAAAGGATGTTTTCTCGCAAAAAAACTCAAAAATTCAATATATTGAAAATATTTTATCAATTTTCTCTGGGTTTGCCAATCCGAGTCTTCTTCCCTTGTCTTTTTTTGGGGGTAAGGTTTTTACGGCGCTCGCAACTGCATAAGGTCTAATGAGCGCGCGGGACACACCAAACCTTTTCAATTGGTAGGAAATTTGAATTTTGCTCAGGTGGCAGCCAAAGCCTACTCTTATCAATTTTGGACCACCAAGTGATCTTTAACTCTTTTTATCTTGGCCGTACCCCCACGGACTCTGTCCCCATCCTGGGGCAGCCGCGTCCTACGAGTAGGAATTCAGGATATATTTCAAAGTGCTTTATTTCTTACGTTTACTCTTACGTTTTTAAATGAAATTTGGCAGTTATGTTACAAATTGAAAGTAGTTTTTGCAAATGTATGTGGTTAAGAATTACACCAATAGCAGAATGTAGATTCTGAGGTGTATTTCACCCTCCAACTTGACCCTGATTGCCGCACACAACGTCCCATTGAATTTTATAGATCTAGCTCTACCCATCGATACAGCACAAATTCCAGTACTGACCCCTTCATGAACTGAATCGCTATTAGATGAGACTAAGTCCTGTTTGTTATCATCCACAATGGAATTTACGGCACTTTATTCAGAGTCACTTTCATCAAAATACTCATTCCCCCCTCACAACCCAGCGCCACTTCAAAAAGTACTTTGTCGGTCGTTAACATGCGTTTTCGAGACATCTTTCAAGCTTCTACACCCATCAAAAACAAAGGAACCGCTGTTCATTGGTAAATTTAAATATTCAGACAGAGCTAGCTTCGCCGTATTTGCGTATTTTGGTAATTACAAGCAGAACTTGCTTCTTTGACATTAATTACATCTTATTGGTGGATGACTTTGATGTTTAACTCTGGTTTTCACTCCTCTCATAACTGGATAGTAGTTATGGACCCAGCGCCTCATCTCCTCCAAAATGCAAAACAGGAAAAATTTGGAAGTCCCCATTACTTCTTGAAAAAGCCTTAGAAGATGTGACTTCAACAATAAAATTTTTTTTTAACCCAAACCGTTTAAATTCTGCTGTATACAAATAAGAAAAATGTATCAAACCTTTAAAACCACCAACTGATTTTACATAAATGGCCCATTTTTGTACTAGAAGAATGTAGCGCCCCTTGCCTTTCTGACAACTGTTCCTTTTTCAAAAGCAATCTCAAGAATCTAGACAAACTAGTTTCTTCAGCTTTGGGCAAGAATTACAGCTGGGGAACAGGTAACACAAACACAGAACACTCAAAACCATGGACAGTTTGTACAATTTGCCATTCCCTGACTTACTACCCGTCACACCATCTGGCATTTAGGGCAGCAACAAAGGATCTCCAACTCAGTCGGTTTTGGGCTATCTTGGTCAATGTCCCCCGCGAATGAATTCCCTGACATGTATTTCTTCAATTTTTCATTATCTTGTCGGTTAACCCAAATATGGATTTTGAACACATTTGTCAATCCCCGACTATTTGAGCTATCCATGCCCGCCTACTTTACAACCTTGCGATCATGGCGTAAAGGAGTCCCTAATGTGTGTAATGTAGCTGCCGCTGATCCATATTTTTCATCTTCCTTTTCTGTAAACAAGGTACTCAATACTACCAGTCCCAAGAGAGTTCTTTAACAAAAGTTTAGCAGCATTTGCAACACAACTAGGTCATATACGTCCCAAAGACTAGAGGTTTTACTAGAGTGTAACAAACACAAAAAAGGAGGATAGATAACGACAATAGATGTTTGATGGAAAAAAAGAAGCTAATTACACCAGAGCACCAATTGACCACCCACCAGGATAGAGAATGTGAAAAATCAAAGGTATCCTCTAACCACAAAAAAGACACTTTCGTATGAAAGGCAAGAACTTTACAATTCAAATCACTAGCCTCCTATTTACAAGGTGTTTTTTCCTCCTCGTTCAAGTATGTATATCAGGTAACGATAAAGTCATGAAATTCATTCTTTAAAAATGCTTGCAAAATAAATCTCCTAAAAAGTTAGAGCAGACCAAATCTTTTACAAAATCTGTTACCATTAAGCAGTTCTCAAAATTCAGAGTTTTTCTTCAATACTGAATTTACTTTTCTTAAGTACAACTTCTCAAAACTCAAAATTAGGGCCATTATTTAAAAAATCACACTAACATTATAAATGCATCGTTCATAATGCTGTTTGCAAGCAGAGGAAAAAGTTTATTATTTTCCAGCTTGGCACGACCGATGATCATGTGAAACATTTTATCTAGAATCTAGATCTGGTTGGTATTTTGACTTTTTTTTTGTAAATGACAAATTACTCTCAGTATTAGTACCAGTACTGGGTTGGCTACCTCAATTTATTTTGTTAATTTTTAAAACTTTTGTACATTAGTTTATATTTTTTAATGAAACTGGTTTGTTCATAAATGGGAAAAGTTGTCACAGTAACTTACAAATATCACTACAATTTCATGATCTCTTGTTCCTTTATTCACTGAAGGAGAAATAAAACAGATTTGCTCCTACTAGTACAGTGGCATGAGGTTGAATGCCCCCCTCCCCCTTTTAAATTCCCTCATGAGGAGTCCAGATTCTCTCAACTATACCATATGTGAGGAATCATGGGGAAATCAGGTGCTCGTCAAAATAACAAAATCGGAGAAACAGGCATTTTCCCGCCAGTTAGGCAATTTTTATAGATTTTTTATTTTTTGGCTCAACCCCTTTCATGTCTAAACAAAAACATATTTCCATGTGAACTTTGCTGAAAAAAACGATTGACGGCACAAAAAATGTCATTTTCCAGTTTTCAAGGACTCTCTAGCTATTTGAGTTGTCAAACCTTGGCGGTCATTTCCTCTCTAATTTCACTACTGAAACCAGGCGACCTCACCTCCTTCAATCACAGATATCTCGACTACTATTCAAGATAGATGGGTATTTTTCTCATTGAAAGCAAAACAAATTAATAAGCTTTCAGACGATACCAATAACTCCACATGTCCAAAAATTGACGATCGCCTGATTTCACAGCGTCTAGACACATATGCATTAGGTCATTTTGATTTTCAGGAAGCACAAAGGAAAAGAATAAGACAAAGGGTGAAGTGAAACATTTACCTCCAACACTTTCTCGATATCATCAAGGTGGCCTTCACTCTCCTCAACTAGTTTCTTAGTTCTGTTAAAAAATAGAATGCAAAATATTTACTGTGTAGTCATGACATAAGGTCGAATGAAAAATAAATTATAGCATAAGAAAAAAACTGAACATGACACACCCACCCACCCACCCCAGGAGAAAAATTTGGATCAGTATTTTTTCTCTTCTTTTGAGTCATAAGCTTTCCAGCAAGACAAAGTTTATGCCAAATATAATGTCTACTGTGGCAACGGAAAGGTAGTTATTTATGAAGAAGTTATTATTTTTTTTCAATGTATTCCTTCTCAGTTTCACAAAATTAGAGAATGTACATGTACCTTTAGTACAAAGACAGTATTTATCAGGGCTTCCTGCAACCGACGTCATTTTTCGAGGAATTTCAGGTCCAGGGCAGCACCCTGACAGGAGGCCTTTATGTTTGAGATTTTTTCGTTTCGGAGCATCCTAAATATGCCATTTCTGGCTATTCAAGACGAAATTTAACAAGACAATAGTGAGAAAAAACATACCTTGCATACATAATTTTCTGCTTGTGCTAATCCATATAAATCCAAGGCCCTGCTTTCTCCTTTGTACCGGTACTGTACATCCACAACAGTAGTATAACAGCTAGATCTATAAAACTTGACAGTTAATGTTCAACTTTTTTTCTGCTTGTGTCGGTTTGCACCATAATATGATCCAAGGCCATGCTGTTCTCCCTTGTACTGTACACCCTATAATAGTACAGCACTCAAGTTAATAATAGCTAGATCTAAATAACTTGACAGCTTATGTTCAACTTAAATCCACAACAATATTTACACAACAAGTTGATAAAAAATTAAGCTCTCTTTAGAGTTTTCTTTTCTTGGCAGGCCCAAGATCTATTGAACCACATTTCTTCCCCATGTTTACAGTGCTGGTGCTCTGCTTGTGCTCTAGAAAGTGAAAGACACTGTCTACACTTTCATATAAAAGAGCACTTCCGGAATGGGTCGGCGATTGTTGCTGCTATTAGTAATTACAGAAAATTTTTATTTCGCATTTTAAAAAATCATTTTTTAAATCATTTTTTTTTAGCACTGATTTTCACGAAATTTTTCCATTTGAGGAAATCTATAAATTTGCGGAATTGCTGGAAAACTGGAAGCACTGAATTATAGTTGCTTTTAACATGTATTTAACACTTTGCCATCATAAGGCTCATATTGTAAAAACTCTTGCCATCAAAGGCAAAGGCATTTTGGGGAAAATCCAAAGAAACTGTGTGGTAAACATGGCCGATCGGCGAGCTGAGGCAGCAAAGTGTTGAAAGTCCAGAGGACAAATGTTCACTCACTTGTATGTGATAACCTTGGTCTCCTTCAACAAGTTGCGATAATCAGCTTTAGCATTTGTGAATTTCTCGTGCATATAAACTGTGAACTCCTTTTCTCTTTTCTGAGGAAATACAGATTTTTAAAAATACAATTATAATAAAAACAACAAGAATATTTCACAAAGACATTATCATCAACCTTTCTTAACACATTACACCCTAACTCGCCCGGGAATTCCCTTACGCGCTCCACCCTGACTCGCCCGGAACCGCCCGCGCCGACCCAGCGTCTTTAGAAACGAAAGTCTCGCCTTGACGAGACTCTGGGGCCGGGATTTTGATTTGCATAGTATAGCAAAAAGTTTCTTCTTTCGTTTGATACCGAAACGAAATTTTTCGGGCTAGTAGTTTTAGTTTTAGTATTAGAGCTGATCGAAGTGCGATCGCGTTACCGACACTTCGAAAGTGCCTCGACTTGTTGAAAAGCGACACAATTGAGTTCGAAAACGGAAATAACGATGGATTTGAGCAAAAACGAGCATGTGACAAATCAGATGGCTCAGATTTTTATGAAAACGTTGTAGGAAGAGTTTGGGGCGATTCCGATTGATCAGACGGAGAAATTATAGAATTTAGATCTAGTCTAGGGCCCGACCGCGAGGCTGAGACTGAGAGTGACAGTGACGGGTCGGACACCCCGATTGAACTAAAGTGAGAACATTTCCAACAGTTTGCGCATACATAAAGTTATATTTTTCTGAAACTACATTCAGTTTTCTTTTTAACTTTTATTTTTTCAGGATTTTTGGAATTTGTTTAGTATTTTTAAAATGTGTTTTTTAAAGGCTAGTATTCAGGGGAGGTGGGTTCTTTCCCCTTGCTTAGGATCTAGGAATGGACTTCCCGTCCAGGCCCTTAGGGTGTAATGTGTTAACCCTTTAAGTGTCAGAGGCAAAATTTTCTTGTGAGATATTTAGATTTTCAATTTCACTAGAGGTCACAAAATCCCTCACAACATTTCAAAATCCACCCAAAATGTTCTATAACCACAGATTTCCTGAGGTAGATAACATAAATGGACGAAGGCCTCATTTTTTTTTTAAAGCTCACAATTATTTGAGAGAATTTTACAAAGAACTGACATATGAATGGAAACGAATACAGACCAAAAGGAAGCAAAGATAAGCTTAAAAACAAGTACTTTGGCTCCGGTTAATGAATGTCCCTTTTCAAAATATGTAACACTGCATTATTTCAAATTCAATTTTTTTAAAATGAGTTTACAAGTTACAGGAATATTATTTGGTATTAATTGGGAGAGATAATAGAATGTGTGGGTGGTTAAGGTACAAAAAAAAAATTCTACATACTCTGTCACTTGACGAAAACTTGGTATAACGTGGATCTTCCTTTATTTGCTTTTTTACTTCCTTCCACGTCGAAGTAAGGGAAATCTGAAAAAAAAAAAGGACATAGATACAAACCAAAAGGTGTAACCTTTTAAAAACTAATATACTTAGGCTTCAAAAGTAGTACTTAAATGCATAAGAAGAAGACAAGCCTAAACCCACAGAGCTTTCTCAAAGAGCCAATGTCTAATCCTCCCCCATTACCTATAACAACAATATTAATTTGGTTTAGTAACCCATTTTTTTTTTTTCAGGACTTCTTTAAAGAAATCGGTCACATTTTTGTGTAAACACAAAGAGGTTATAAAAAAAACTAGAGGTCTTAGCTCTGACGTCACGAGTGTCAAACCTGAGGGGCTCGCTGCCATTCCTGAGAAGAATAAAAGGCAAGTCCCTGCACAGCAATACTTTTCTATCACGGATTAATGATCACTTGCCAAGTCTTTCGATGTTCATTTCTTTCTCATGTCATTTGCCTATCGCTAAAATGTACTCAAAGGGTTTTTTGTGATAGTTTACCTTTAAATGAGCCAGAAAATCTCCAAATAATGCAAATCGGACCTTTTACACGCTGTGACAACATGGGTGAGTAAAATTCCGAAACAAATGAATGAGATGGACTTGATGATCACTTGCTAAAACAAAAAAAACCCATAATTTTATTGAAGTCTTTTGCTGTGCGTCGCTCAAACTGCATGTTTAGATTTAGCACCGCTGACAACAAAGCGCTCGTATCGGCCCTCTGGAATCAAGAATGTGACTGAGAAGCTGCTAGAAGCTTCAGCTGCAACTCTAGCACACCTTCAAGGCTGGCTGAATGCGAAAGAACCTCTGTCGATGTTGTTGAGATGAGAGAATATAAAGTAGCCAATCAGGCGTAACTAACCGCCAATAAGACTGGCGTAATATTGTCTCATTTGCGGAACCGATGCCAAACAGCATATGTGCAACAACAGCAGCAGGGGTTCACGGAAGATGAGGTGTTGTGTAGCTTAACACCATTGCCAATCAACGCCAATTTTAGAAAATATTGTGAATGTTTAAGATAAACTGACTATTTATCTAAGTGCTGGATTTTAAAATGTCAATATATATATAATTATTTGTGCCCGATATTAAACAACGCTCTTTGGGTGTGCGCACAGGATCAAGACAATGAGAGATTTACAGTATCCCAGCCTTCAGTTAATTTCTCATTTTGAGACAATAACGAATTAATATATTAAATAATTAACCCAGTCTTAACCCCCCTTCATACTCTATGAAGGCCTAGGCTTTGCATCAGTAGGAGAGTGTAGACAACATGACATAAAAGCAATCCATTTTGTAAGTATGAAATTGTCCTTTTTCTTAAACTCAATCCCTCACTATGTCTCCCTCCGACCCTCCCCCACCCCAACCGGGAAAGACAAACAATACCTCATATTATATATCTCTGTTCATTTGTAGCCCAGATTTAATTTCTTTTATGTTTCCCACAATCGGTCAGCAGGTGCGGTGTTGTGTATGCGCGTATGTTATATGATTAATTAAACAACTGCAGCAAACAAAATGAAAACTTAAAATAAAACTGAACTGAGCTTCAAACTCGATTTAGACCTAGGCTTTGCGAGGGACGCGCAGCATGACAGCACTGTCTCTAATCCTCTCAAAAATGGCGACAAAGCTAGCTGAGTGGGCCCGCACAGCCATAATGAATTTACGTGGGTGACATAGGTGCAACCTCTAGTACTATAATAATCTCTTTGGTGTAAACATGTTTTCTTCCTAAAAGTTAAAAAGCAAAATGAACACATACAACTCAACCCACCCAATCTAGTGAAAAACACTAAACACAATCTAGTGGGATTCATTCAATAATTCTGTATAGGGATAAGGAATGACTGAAACAAAGTCCTTATAAAATATCTATAAATATTGGTAAGTTACAACAACTTATCCCAAAGCCAATTGTCCCCTGGTTAACATGCTACAGAGTGTTTGTCATTTGTAGGAGCTCACTTCTGTTTCATCCAGGAGAGAGTGAAACATGGCTCTGTTCCGCTTGAACAGTCCCTCGATGTGCGTCTCAAACAGCTTTTCCTTCTCTTCCCTCTCAAGACTGTCAGTCATTTCCCATCGGTGGTCTTTACGAAGCTGTTTCCTAGTGTCTCGCCACGTCACTTCAGAATTGCGAACCTGCGAAGAGATAGCATTATTTCAGGAGTCGTGTTAACAGAACAGGCATCGTCAACATCTTTTCCCACTTAGCAATTTTACTTCTTTTTTTTTAATACACAAGAAAGAAAAAATAACAAATGAATTACCTGAAACAAATAGCTTTAACATCCGTAGTTATAAACTCCCTTGAAAAAATTGTGCTCAAAAGATTACGAATATACATTGAACCTATCCAGGACTCTCTACAATTTGCATATCACCATGGGAGAAGTGTTTAAGTGTTTGCTTAGTTTTAGTAGAAGTTTTACCGCGCTCGCAACTGCATAAGGTCATATGAGCGCCAGAAGATTAGAGGTGTTACAAGAGAGTAACAAACATAAAAAAAGAAGAAAGGGAGATAAGAAAGATAGATGTTTAATAGAAAAGAAGAAGCAACTCGAAATCAAAAATGAAAACTTCGAGCAAGTATCAGATTATAAGTATTTGGGTATGGCAACAAACTGGACTGGCATGTCCACACTTCCCTCCTGCATAAAAAAAACTTTTTCTAAGGTAGCTCATGTATTTTAAAGTTGATAAATCATTGATGTCCATATTCTATCATTCAACCATAGAAAGTATGATCAATTTCTGTATAACAGCAAGGACCGGGAACACATGACAAAAATATAAAGAAAAATTGCATCAATTAATACAGAAAGCATGCAAAATTTCAACATCTTTATTCCCCTACTTCGATGAATTATACATTATAGCTTGCACTAGAAAAATTAATTCCATCTTTTTGGACAATAAACATCCCTCGTTCCCTCAAATAAAAATATCAGTCAAAAGTAAAGACTGAGGCTTCTCATCTGTAACAAAGAAAGGTGAAGGTCATTCTTACCATCATCCATCAAATTTCTTCCATCTTAATCATCTTGTTTTAAGTATTGATATGACCTTAGAGCATGCATCAAAATACCATAGAGTTACAATCAAAATACTGAATACGTACCTAGATTAGCATTATTATTGTTTATATTACTGTTCATTTATATTATGCATGTGACTGTGAGCCTGTTAGTGAGTGCAAGTATACTATTATATTATCATGGTTATGTGCACAGATGTGTGTGGAAGATAGGATGTCTGAGGGAAGAGTGTGTGTGTATATGGGTGTGCACATGTGCGTACATATGCGTGTGTGTGCATGTTTATGTGTGCGTGTCTGTGTGTGGGTGGTGTGAGGGTGCCTGCGAGTGTGCGAGTTTATGTACGTGGTGAAACACCAAACCAATGTGCCAAGACTTGGACAATAAAGATGTACCTTATCAATCTTCTTATTTCTAGACTAATTAACTCTCTCAACAGACCATGAACTTAACAATCAAAGACATTAGCTAAATAAAACACTGAGCATGATCAACAAAAGTAGGACTGAATTCAAAGAAATTCACTTTGCTAAATTTCAGTATTTTTTTAAACTCACAGATCTGATTTTTCCCCATTTAACTGAGACACAATGAACCAGGATGAAAAATGGCCTTCAGAGGTGAACGGAAATAAAATATAACAATGACACCATAAAATTACAAATTTCATTTTGACCTACAAAATTCAGAGTAATTTCTTAACTTCGCAATATTTCCATGAAATTATAGTTAGCCATAAAAATCTGCCCGCAAGAGATTCCTAAACACTGTGGGATATGTCATGATCTCCTGCAATGAGCCATTCATGGCACATTAGGTTTCATATACCACTACTAAAAGCACCTCTTCATCCAGAATATTAACTAAGACATAACAACACAAACAAACAAAAAGACCTTGAGGACAAAAATGGACATCACTCATGGACTGCTTAAAAACTAAAAAAAACCATGCCTCTGCTTTCTGAACTCATGAAAGTGTCGCTTTTGGATTAAAAGATGCTAGCACTAAATGCCTCGTTTATAAATACAGCACAAAGACACCAATTAGAACTATGGACACCAACCAGATCGGCCAGAAGTGCATTGAATGTTTGAATGGCTTCATCTTTCTTGTGCTGTTCTCTTTCTTTGTCTCTCTCTCTCAAGGAAGTTGACAATGATTGCTTTACTTCCTCTTCTCTTTTCTTCAAACTGGCTTCAATGCGTTCCTGCTTCTCACGTTCCTTTCTTTCTTCATCTTCTGAAGTAGCCTGATGGGTAAAACAAATTTTAGACAGCTAGAACTCAAGTGTACATTCCCTAATACTTGTCATATGGGAAAAATATATCGTTTTTATGCAAATTGAGGTTAAGTGATATTCAAGAAAGAGTGCACCCAGACTTAACATTATCTCAACAAATTAGCTGTCAAATAATAAAGTATGCTTCACAATAAAGCAAAAATCCCTCACTTGAAATTCAAAAGAGATGAATGGTTTCTAGAGCTCATACAATATATACTAATCCACATAATAGTAGGTACCACAAACTAAATTTTCAAAGTAGCTGTAAGCCAAATTTAGGTTCCGTACAAAAAGCCTGTGTCTCTTGAGAATTTTGGTACCATTCTTTTACCTCTCAGTCTATTTTAAAGAAAATGCAACCTGCTTTAAATATGATCAAATATTGCTAAAGTCACTAAACTAACTGGTTGCAACTCCACGTTTGACAGATAATAAAAGAGTACCAAGTGCATCAAACATCTCCACATTAACACAAAGTACAATCACCATAACATAGACATGGAGCCTATTTTTCAAGACAGATAATTTCAAAGCAATATTTTATTGCCTCAAACACAATGATCTGTCGTTATTTCAATAAAAACAACAAGCATTGTCCCAGCCAGCGCCGCACCGGCTCCAACAGCGAGCCAGTCGGCTCTATACCATTGTTGTGTACTGAGTGGGGGAGGATCACATGCTTTCGGAGTTTTGTAGAAGGACTGAGGCAAAATAGTTTAAAATGAACTGATCTTTCTATCGGTACCTTTTTAGAGCCAGTATCTTACATATTTTGTATTTAAAAAGTGATCTTTGATAACTTTGACGGTATATTTAAAGGCTTTCTATTTATACCAAAGGTAAAAAATATACCACATGAAAGTCTGTTCAAAGATGGTATTCAATCATCGATCTTTCTGCGAAACATTTGAGTGTGTGGGTTTTCATTTTTGAACCGTCCGCCAACACATCCCAACCGCGAGGGGCTTCGCTTTCGACGGCATTTCTCCAGCTCCAAATACTCGGATATATATAAACAGCTTATAGCAATGTAACGAGGAAAAGCTGAACGTTTACAATACAATGTGTACAGCATTTGGTGTTTAATATCAAAAGAACAAACAAACAGCGATCTGAATCACCCTGAATTCACAGAAACCATGCACTCAGAAGGCCGCGAGACAGTGTTCACGCTACCTAAAAATAGATTTTAGTGTCGTCATAGAACCATAAAAATACAACACTTCCACAAACCTGATAGAATGTGAAAGAAAAATTATTCAATTTGATGTCAATCACACACAAGAAAAGGGTGAACAAAGCTCCTCAGATACTTCATCACTTCATTAACTGGAGCTATACTAAAAAGAGGAAACTTTGACTTTAAAGAAAATTAGGGCTAAACTGCAAATGTCCAAGCTGAGAATAAAAAACAGCTTACCTCATCAAGCCCTTTGACATAGTCCTTGAACCAATCCTCCCTACGAGTACTGCTGTCCACTGCTTCATAACGAGGGTCACCGTTGATCTTTTTCTTTATTTCACTCCACCTAGAGTTGCGGTCAATACCACTAGTTTCTTTCAGAAGCTTAAGGAAGTCTGACTTCAGCTGAAACAGAAAATAGTCACATTGTAATCTGATGCAAATCAAAGTGCAAAGTTAGATCCATCTCATGTTCCCTGACCAGCAAAAATGTTACCATACAAGCAAAAACCAATAAAAGACCCAAAGGAAAGCCTGTTAAAATGAGGTAGAGCACCTATACTTCAGCAGTTCATTGGCTTCCCTATTTCATGTTAAGTTTTGTATATCTTACACTTTCCAGCACAAACTTAAGTTTCGTAGAATTTCTTGTAAGTGAGAGAAGGGAGATTTATTCAATCCAAAGCAAAAGGTGTAATGTGATCACAGGTGCATAAAATTTCTGTCCTCAAAGAGTAAGTAATTCTTCTACAGAAAATAGTTGACAGTAAAAACTTAAAAATTAAACCTCCGTAACTAGCATTCACACAAATATCAAGAAAGCAATCAAATTTTGCCATTTATTTTAAAGCAGACTACAGTTGTGCTTTTTCTCTCCAACTTTTGCATTCCCAAAATTAATTTTCAAAAGATTCAATGTTCACCCAATGAATGCAAATATTGTGTTGCTTTCTTGATTTTACAAATGATTCGAGTTCAATGAAATGGCATAAATATCATTTCATAATGCACTATAGTTGCCATCTCATTTCCATGTATCATTAAAAGACATTCTACTACATTGACAATTCTAAACACAGAATGATCTGAAAAGGAAGCAGATTACAATTGAACAAACAAAACAAAACATAGATTCAATCCCATATAATGTCTTACGTTGCATATTTTTCTTCTTCCTAGAACAGTCCATTTGTCTTCAAAATTTATTTCTTTTAAAATAAGCACAATGTTGTATACCAAAGTTACTAAGAGCATTTCTTCACTTCTTAGGCTATGACAACCGCTCCTTAGCACATAAAAAAAAATTCACCTTCCAACATAATGGAAAAAAAAAATATCTAAAAGCATCATGCTTTGTCTTACACATGAATCATGTCAATATGTGATGAGAGAGAGAGAGAGAGAGAGAGAGAGAGAGGGGGGAGAGAGAGAGAGAGAGAGAGAGAGAGAGAGAGAGAGAGAGAGAGAGAGAGAGAGAGAGAGAGAGAGAGAGAGAGAGAGAGAGAGAAAGGAGCAAAAGGGAAAGAGGGACAAAAAGCACATAGATGATCAGCATGTATTTAATTTGAAGTCAGCTTATGTGCTGCTAAACAGTGCTTATGAGTATCTGATTCTGAACATATGGAAACAACATAATCATTTTTATACCTGTGCATCTACAAAGAGATTGGGTTTTTTTCTGTTCAAACAAATGCATCAAATGTGTGGGAAGAGGCTTAGGGAACTATATCTGCATTGCAAAAATGATCCTGATCATAAAAACGGGATGGATTTCTAATGAGATGGCAACTACATACCAGGAGCAAGTTTTTTAAGCGCCAATCTCAAATCAGTCTCTCAAAATGGGAGCGGGAATAACCCCAGCCACTATGTTACTTCAAATTAAACTCTGGCACACAATCACCACAATTACTTTCTATATATAAATTTACTTTTTTTAAACTGCAAAATTTATGAATTTGTCAGCTTGCTTTTGGTATGCTGGCTCCAGTGCAATTTTACATAGCCATAAGCAGTATCTACTACTGAAAATTAAAGACAGAGAGGTAGGAATGACCATGTTTGGGTAATGTGAGAAGAATGAAAAGAAAATATTGGTGCTATATACCAGGTATGACCACCACAGAGCGAGGACTAGGAATTCCACACAGGGGTCAAATTGCAAAGGCAACTGACCAGGAGTCATGATTTCAAGCACGCTGTCTACAGCTTCCCGAGCTTTGCTTCCTCTTCTTCCATGGGGGAACATAAAGTTCAACAATGTTAGAACAGTAGCCAAAGTTAAAATAACAACTAATAGTTTCTTCTTCTTCCGTTGTTTCTCTTTTCTTTTCTTTCTTAACAAAAGCACGGTTTTTATTATTAAAAGTAATATCAGTTATCGTGTCATTAATCAGTTCTACATGGAATCTTAGTATCTACTTTATTAGTGTATTTCCAAACATAGATTGCCTTATCAATTTAGAATAAATAACACATAATTAGACTAATTTCATACTACTGCAAAGGCATTACAACGTGATTTATACATTCAGTCAATAACTTAGATCTTCATTCAGTACCTTACATATGACATTCATACCTTATTGGTATTAATTCTCTGACAATCAACTGAAAATGCTTTTCAATTTGTCTGACACATATTTCTAAACAAAAATTTTAACTATGCAAAACAACTGAAAATATCTCTTAACAAACATAATTGTTACAATAATCCAGGCACTTATTTCACCATATAAGCAAAAATATACTATGATATGCACTTGTAATCCAAAATCCGTTCCAATTTAAAACAAATGATCTTGTTCCCAACAAAATTTTCAACATGTCCCATAAATGGAGTGACTTACAGCAGGACAGTCAAAAAGGAAACAAAGCTGAAAATGCATATATTAATCTTATTATAAAGCACCTTTTCACATACATGGCATAAACTTTCAAAACTATATTAGCAAGGTAAGTGAGGAGACTGGATTTAAAAACTGGTGTGCTGGAAAAACAAAGTCAATACATCCCCTTCACAGCTTTCGGACATCCAGAGACTGTGGAACCAAATCTGTTCACACAATAGCAAACGTAAAAATAACAAAACCATGGTCATGTATACAGTAGGCATGGCTCCTTATAATTTACAAGTGAGAACTAAAGCACACAATGATTCCTAAGCACATTCTAAACAAGAGTAATGTAAAATTCCTGAAAACATGAATATCAGAGAGAGAAAAAAAATGACAGACAGTTATTGGAACATATTTTGTTCCAAAATACACAGGATTTATCATGCTGATTTCTCTACAGAAACATTTCAAGAGTGTAAAATAAAACCAAAGAAGCACCTATGGTAACTAACTAAATGTGCGTGAATCACATGCTAAAGAAAGGTATAATATCATTATCAAATTACATGTAGAAAATATGAAAAGTAATGTATGGTGTTAGTTCAATCAATGTGACAGGTTTGAAGACTTTGACCCCCCTCTCCAACACAGCTAACATACTTTTTGAAACAAACGCTTAACCACAAAAACAAAACAAGGTTCACCACTGTCAAGCTAAGTCACATAGCTGCAACTATTTCAAAGGCAGATATATCCAAGTGTAGGGATCAGCTGAAATCATTGATACACAGGACATAAAGTATTTCTTTTTAAAAGTTGAAACTATTGAAAAACTACATCTTGACACAGTGATCAGCATTGTATAAATATACCACAGATGATTACATTGTTCCTAAATGTTGCAAAAAAATATCTACAATGTCGAATCTCTATTTTTTTAATTCCCTGAGAAATAACATGCTTTTTACTTTTTTCGTTGTCCTTCAGTTTGATAAGAAACAATATACTATCCCTAAGATTACTTACACATCTCAGGGAAATATTCCTATTTGACACAAAACCAAAATATATAGTGAGTTGCTTGCAATAACTGAAAAACTGCTTGATTTCAAAAGACTTTGGTTATTTAGGACAATTTATCAAATTAAATTCATAGGACCAGGGGAAAAGTACTCAAAGATGATTGACACTGAGACTACATCTTGAGATTTGATTTTCGTCAACCTCATAAAAATTGAAGTAGTTATAGTTGGTGCGATTAAATAGTCAGTGCACAAAATATCCAATTCATCCTTCCTAAAATTTGACCAAAGTCTTCAGAAAAAAAAAAGTATTTCTGATCCCCCTCTCAATGTGATGGGTGAACAATCCTTTACTTTACATCACCCCAAATGCAGACAAAATGGGTAAACAATGTCAATATACTACTTTACATTTTTTCATTCTGAAATTTTTATGGTAAAGAATTTGCCATTTGCCCATCACCACTGAGAGGGATCACAGTGTCTGCATGTTACACAAATGCCCAGTGGCTCTTACCTTTTCCTTTAAGACAGATTTCTCTTCCTTCTCTTTCTTGCGGACTTCACTAACAAATTCCAGAAAAATAGACTCCCTCTCCCGCATTTTGTCAATCCCTTTGAAGCGTTCGTCTTTTCCATATTTGCTGGCAAAATCACTGAATAGCGATCTGAGAAAGATGAAACAAATGTCTTTACATTTCTAATAACAAAAGTATCCCAAAAAAGAAAGCAAATCCATATTTCGTACACTCAGAATTTGCTTTTCATGTCAACCTGAGGTAAAATTTCCATTTCAACTACTTGATAAGACACACCTTATGACCAGATTCTATGTCTGTTGCCAGAAAGAGAAAAACATTACTGAAATATAAGATTTTCAGGTCTCACATTCTCACAAATTCCACATTACTCAACACAGCACAACTGAAGATCTGTCCAAACAAAACACCCTATGCACAGTGCCACACAAGACTGGCCATTCATTTGCTCTTGAAGCATTTTTATTTACACTTTGTATAAATTTAGTAACTTCAAATACTCATAAACAGTGTTCAAGAAAACAAAATACCAAAGCCAAAAAACTCAAAACTTTAAAGTACAATCAACAATAACTGAACAAACCAGTGTACCTAAACATCTTTCTTTCGGGACAGGAATTTTATAAATCCACAAAAGATTACAAAGACAGCAACAACAAAAATTCATCAAACCAACGTCACAGTAAAAGCTTCACATCTAAACAAAAATACCAACAGCCCATGGTGATCTCTAAGCAAGATTCATTGCTATTCCCTACTTTAGTCTCTACCACGGTGTAACTGTTAAATCAAGGCAAATAAAAATAAATCTCCAAAAGGGCAATACATTTGTTGCTACTCACTTCCCATGTAGTTTGCTTTCTTCCAGCAGCTGGCGGAAGGCCTCCTTCTTCTCCTTGATGCGACGATTCTTTTCACGACGTTCTTCCTCTGCTCTTTCTTTAACATATTGCTCAAACACTTGCTTGCGCTCACGAGAAGTCAGCAATAGGTACCGCTGATCAAAAACGATCTTGTGTAATTCTTTCTCCCATGTGGAAAAGACAGACACCTGAAATTACCAAAAACAAAACAACAACAAAATTACTACACCAGTTGTCAAGATCTTAAATTGAATCCTCATAAACAGCCGATCATAACACAAAGGACACTGCTTTCTTTTGTCATTTAACTCATTCCGTCCAGAGTGACCGTCAGTCGTCGCTGACTGAACGCCGTTTCCGCAGAAGAACAACTCAGTAATCCTTTCTTGTATGGTTTTAATAAACTATTCCAACTGCTAAGTTCCGTAATATTTTGCAACTTGTGAATGAATTTAGTGTCAATACTGGAAGCTTCACTGCCGGTTCCATTATTAGTAAAATTTTGCGTGTTTTCTTTATAGTCTGAAGTGTTGATCGAAATAAAGCAAACCCATTTGTTTACAATTGCAACAAAGGCCTGGGGCAACGACTCAAGCAAAACCAAAGCCCTGCAAAGCTTTTCGCTGTCGATATGACTGATATAAGCTTTTTTATTATGATTACATTGTCAGCCACACAAACTTCGACTTCAATAGTAATTTCCAACTGGTGAGTATAGCAGTGACGATACTGTCAACAGGGATGAAACTGACTTGACTTTGAGTGGGCGTTGTACTCTAGTAAGTGAATCATCCATTAGTTATAACCTACCCGCAAAGTCTAGATCTAGTACTAGCAATGTCAACAAAGCTTGTACAACTGCTAATACTAGATTTATTACAAGGATAGAATTAGGAGCTGATTGCTGAAGGAAAATGTCTACTATTAGTCGGCTGACGAGCATTTCGTGTATTTCAATAACTTTGAATTATTGAACAAGATCAGTGCTGGAAAACCTACTGTGTGGTAATATTTCAAAGGTGATTTACATGCAAACATTTGTTTATTCAGTCTGGGTCTGCACTTTATGGGTAATGGTGACAGTAAGCTGGATAAAACTCATCAAACTGCCCAATTTCCTTATTCTTTAGTTATTATTCCTCTTTTATTGTGTAATTGCTCTTATATAATAAAAGAAAAACCATCCAACCCATCTATTGTGATAGCTTATTCAATTACCTTTCCTGTAGTATCAAATATATATACTTTCATTGAAAAAATCAACAGAATCAATTTGAATACGGTACCCTATTGTAATAGGCGCTCCTGGGAAAATAAATTCCGGCGTTTTGGGAGGGTCAGTGAAAAAAAATCAGGGCGCATAAACACATTACACCCTAAGTCGCCCGGGAACTCCCTTACGCACTCCACCCTGACTTGCCCGGAACCGCCCGCGCCGACCTAGTGTCTTTAGAAACGAAGCTGAGATTTTGAATTGCATAGTTATTGCAAATTTCTTCTTTCGTTTGATACCGAAACGAGATTTTTTGGGCCAGTAGTTTTAGTATTAGCCAAACGAAGTGCGATCGCGTTACCGACACATCGAAGGTGTCTCGACTTGTTGAAAAGCGACACAATTCAGTTCGAAAAAAGAAATAACGATGGATTTGAGCAAAAACAAGCATATGACAAATCAGATAACTCAGATTTTGATGAAAACATAACAAGAGTTAGGGGCGATTCAGATTGATCAGACGTAGAAAATCTAGAATTTAGATGTAGGGCCGACCGCGAGGCTGAGAGTGAAAGTGACGGGTCGGACACCCCGATTGAACTAAAGTTAGAACATTTCCAACTGTCTGCGCATACATGAAGTTATATTTTTCTGAAACTACATTCATTTTTCGCTTTCTTTTATTTTTTCTGAATTTTTGGAATTTGTTTAGTGTTTTTAAAATGGGTTTTTTGTAAAGGCTTTTTTTCACGGGAGGAGGGCTCTTTCCCCTTGCTTAGGATCTAACAACGGACTTCCCGTCCAGACCCTTAGGTGTAATGTGTTAAGAAATATTACCTACAATTCAAGTCTAAAACTTGACCCGACACCTCATTACTCTTCAAAAGACCATTAAATCATACCACATAGTATATTAATTGAAGTTGCTCTCTCATTTAAATTAACATTAATCTCAAGAAAGTTGTGTTCTTGACTATCTTCACCTACAGGTATCAGGTTCAATCTACATTACCTCCTTTTCAGCAAGCATGTCTCTGAATTGCTTCATCCTGATCTCCAGGGGAACAATAGCTCTCTGACGTGCTGCAAGCACCTCAGCCTCGATCGCTGCTTCCTTGCCTATGTCAATCTGTTTGGGACCACCTTCTTTTTTCTCTTCCTTTGTTTCTGTTTCAGTCCTGAAAAAAAAATACATGTACTTCCTCCTATAAATCAACCCTTTTCATTACATAACAGTCTCAATCAAAATCTATCAATACTGCTTCATAAGACACTCATTTGTATGTAAATCATAGACAGCATGCAATGACAATAATAATTTTCTAAAGTTTAACAAAGTTGTCTTTTATAATGTATTCCTTTATTTTTCAAGACAACATAAACACGGATTCAACTCAACCCCAGTCAGGCACACATAACATAACACGTAAAACTCAAAATCACAGATAGCTTATACAATTTGTCATACCCCAACCAATATCTCATTAATTTGGCGCCATTGGTTAACCCGAATTATGGATGCGCTGAACACATTGGCCAATCCCCAACATGTTTGAGCTATCCATGCTCGACTGCATTTCAAAACACAGCTGAACAAATGTTTTGGGACAGGATAACGGTCATCTTCTGAACACTACCTATACGCCGAATTGTATTATTATATTTAACTCCACATAAACAGAATTACTGTTCTTAATCTGAGTTAAAGCTCTTCACTAATGTAACTAATTCTTTCCTTAAAAGTTGAGAACATTTCAAAAGCTCATAAACTATACTGAATTCTTGCACATGTTAAAATAACATTAAGCAGACTTACTTTTTCTTTTTATTTGGTGGCTCTCCAGTTGATTCCTCTTCCTTTTCTCTTTCCTTCTCTTCCTTTGGTTTTTCTGTGAAAAAGAAAGGAGAACCAATTTATCAAAAGAACCACAATTTAAAAAATGAAATAACACCACAGACACTCATGTCCTACTAGTACTAGTTGACCTCAGAATTGTCCATCATGCACTCCGCAACACAGGAGACGAAATTTTAAAAATATTGCGATCAAAACAAAACCTTTCATCACTACTGCCAACATCTTCACATTAGATATAAGTATGAACATTATTTGAAGGAAAATAACAGGTGTCAGAAATAAAATTCAACAATGAGGATTTTACATTTGTCAATATGAGAAAAATCAATTCATTTGTTCAAAAAATATCAAAATTACAAAATTTTAACCAAAATTAACTGAAACACAAAACTTTGCAACTCCTTACACATCAACCATATTGTTCTATTTCAAATAGTCAAGAAGGTGTTCGCTATTTAAATTTCTAGGTATAGACTACTTCTTTCCGTACAAGCTCCAATACGCCACTGGAAATTTTGAATATCATTGTGGCATGTTTTTAGGTCCACTCTTTAGACATCCTGTTCAACATTGAGCTGTACTTGTTCAAATGTATGAGGTATGTTTCCCTATGTCTGTAAAAAAACAAACCCCAAAGGTAATAATTGAAGGGGGTCAAGTTTGGGGGGGGGGGAACCATTCATTTGTAAATTTGTGGGCTCCCAAAACCTTTCTAGCAACCATATCAGGGCCACTCTTGATGTGTGGGTTGAGGCCCCATCCCACTGGAACCAGTCCAGTACAGCATAACACATTCTCCCCCAAGTGCTATAAAACTTTCTCGGCATATCTAGACACCTACCCTAGGTTGTAACTGAACGTTCATTAAAGGTAAAATTTGGCGTTTTACCTTAAGTGGGTTGAAATCTTTAACAAGTTGACTGATTTCCTTAATATTTACAAACTGGACGTCCTCATGGTTGAATTTAATCTGTTTAGTTTTTGTTGAAATCAGTGAAGAGATGACTGAGTTATTACCCTTTAAGCAGCTTTTTTCTTTTTGGACACCCTGTGCTCTAGTCATTTCAAAACATTTAACAAGAAAAGCCAGTAAGAATAGCAACAGTGTGAATATTCCAGAACTCTAAAGGATACTCACCACCTCCCTTTGGATCTGGCTTATTCGACAACAGTTTGTCAACATCTGGTCTATTCTGCAACTCCTCAGGTTTCTCCCATACACTGAGACGCTGACTTGGGTTGTAGAAGAAGCATCTGCCATCTCCAGTCCATACTACACACCTTAAAGTAACAAATATAACAGCTATTACATTGACTGCCCCAATTCACAGTGAAATCACACAAAAAAATAATGACATTTCCCTTTGTTAATACTCCAAAACCATATCACATCATCACGACACTAGGAAATAAGAAACACACATTTAAAACTTCTTTTAACTGAGGAAATCACAAAGCAATAATATTAACTATTCCAACACTAAGAACTTCTGTGAACTGAAAAATTTGTCAAAAATGGGAGTTTTTATTTTGCTTTTTAAAAATCACTAATGCATAATATCAGTTTCAAAATCCAAGGATGGACTAACAACAATACAATTATAATGGACACTGCTTGCAAAAGCTGTTTAAATGGCCATAGAGGAATTGTTTTCCGCTGCTAGTCAACATTTTAGTTAACACATCCTCTAACAACAAAAGCACTGTCAAGAGCACCTAGAATACCACAAAGCCTGAAAAATAATGTACTTCCAAAATGGAACCAAAGGTGGGGCAGTGATAAAAACATTTTTAAAAATTGACACGATAGCTCATTCAGCAAACTTTAGTATGCATTTAACAATACTGACATTCAAAAAATAATTGTTGAATTGTGTAAACATTTTCATCCAAAACGCAATTCAGAACATTCATTATGTGTTCATCCAGTACTTGCGGGTTTCATAAAACACACCATCCTTGCTGAGACAGCAAATAATAATAACACATCAAATAATCAACCATTTAAACCTGCTTAAAAGCTTTCTTCAATTTGAATGGGATTATGGTCCACTAGACTGATCTTTTTGAAGGGAAAACACTTTCAAGAAATCCGCGGAAAAAAAAAGGGAGTATCAACATATATACAAAAACACTTTTAGTCTTTAACCTCTTCGCTGCCACGCCCGTAGAATTAACAGGCCAGAACCATGTAGCGCTGTGCCTACGGCCCGTTGAATTTACAGGACTGTGACAGTGGGGTTTTTTTAAATACCAATTATAGGGGAAGCTACTGTTAAAATCTTGAAATTATTATTGAGGTACCTTCCCTTTATGTTTATCTCCATTTTTCCCACAATTTGAAAGCGTCAGATTCAGATTTTAGAGTGAAGAGAATATTAGATCTAGATCTAACACATTCATGACACAAAAATGAATTAATGGCAGTAAACACAGATGGGCTTACATGTATATATATACGGATTGTACAAGTGTTGTATAAGGTAGGAAAAGCCTCTTGTCACTTCTTTATCTGCAAACACTCACACAACATATTCCCATTTTTTTTGGTCTCAGTTTATCATTACTCGAATGTGTGTTGTTTATGTTGTTTGTTGGTTTTGTTTTTGGCATCATGTTACTAACTCCAACTTTTCTCAATCTATCTCTCAATAAAATTCCCTCAAAATTATATCAGTAGAAATCAATGTGGTTCAATATAGAATGTACATGGAGAAATTCACGAGGAAACATTCATAAATAAAAAGTTATGGGATGTTGAGTGGGGTCACCCCTGAGCAGCCTTGGCTCACAGGATTTCCCCCGGCACAGTGGCCTATTTACCTGCGGCATTGAAGGGGTTAATGCTTCAAGCCAGTCAAGTTTACAACCAGGCAATCTCAAAAACACTTATAGAATACCGCCAAATCTTTTACTATCTTTGTCTGCTTTGATTCTATCAGATCTCTATGGCATGGCCAGTCTCCTCACACACCACTGGAGATTTCTTTTCAACAAAAAAAAAGAAAAAACAATAGCTGGTGCTAAAAAAATGCACACTGACAGAGCAGTTGTCTTAGATAAAAAGAGACAGGTTACAGACGGCATATCAGTACAGATGTGGAAAATGGAGAGTACAGCACAGCCTACCCCAGACACCATTGAAAACTGACTGCTTTAAAGATGCTTGGTAAAAATTCCCAAAATTCTTTGATAAAATAACTTTCAGCAAACTAACTTTAAGTTCCCCCGTTTCAAAGCAGATACTTACTGTGTTCTGACCACTGCACCTTATGTCTTCAATACAAAGGCAAAAATCTATTATTGTTTTAACTTTCTTGACATGTCATACAAAAAATAATTCAAAGTAGTCCTCAATGACAACAGTTCAACTAAATTAATTAATTTAATAAAGAAAAACTCCATTGTTTCCATCCTTTTAACACAAAGCTATAAAGCAACAAAGTCTATCTTATCCTATTCAGAAAGGATGCATGAGTTGCTTAAAGCACAGATTTAAAACAAGTATTTCAATATGATAAAGATGATACAACACCACAACTGAATTCATATATGTACCAGTTCTAAAAAAATTTTATGGTCAATATTTTCAATGTAAGTAAACAGGAGTTTACACCTTGTTTTCTAGACAAATGTCAATAATTTTGAGATCCATTTATATAAAAGCAGTCCACTTTCAAGAGCAAAGTATTCATACTCTAGGCATTATTGAGCCAAATTTCTAAGACAACTGTCATTGAAAAAGAAACTTCAACCTTTTTTAGTTTAGTTTTAGTAAGCGGTATACAGCACTTGCAACACAATAAGGTCAAATAAGTACCAAAGATTAGAGGTGTAACATAAGAGTAACAAATAAAAAAGAAGGAGGAGATATAAGGATGATAGATGTTTGGTAGGAAAGAAGGAGCAAACCACACCTGAGCACCCGCCAGCCTTTTCTGAGGGACTCACAAGGGGACAGAAAAAGCATAGCCATTTGATTACCCCATGTAACAAAACACACAAAAAATCAGATAAATAAAATAAAAAGTATACATTGGAATTACTAATTCTACAATTTTGAACATAGTCAAACAATTATATCATCACAATCAATCACTACCAAGAATGATTAATGTAGGACAGGCATCTAGCAGGCCAATTATTGTTGTTTGAACAAAAAGGGACACTGGATAATCTTACATGTAACACAAGTGTTTAACCAATGGTTCTGAACCAAATTCGAGCTCTACTATAAACTAAGGAAGCACACAGCATTTTACAGTTAGCTGTTACATACCATGGAGTTCCTGGCACCGGGGTACTTGACACTGGCCTTGATTTTTCAGCCTGCTTTTGTTCTTCAGTCATCTCCTCATCTTCTTTCGAAGTCTGAAAATGGGACATTAACAGCCAAATGAAAAAACAGCTGGAGGCGTTTTTAAAAAATCAAAAGTCAACTATTGTATAAAAACATGAACAAAGAGAGCTCATTGAAGATCCAGACTATCAGCTGAAATTTAAATGTAAGAGAGACAAAAGGCTTATTATCTGGAAAATATATGTAACATTACGATTTTTGGCAATAAAACTCAAAGAAAAGAAAGTATTTCATGACAGCAAGAAAAGGCACATTGCTAAAAGAACAACTATAACCTGCACTGTGGATGAATAAAAAATACTCCTGTTTTAATAACCTGAACACCAAAATCCAGTAAAACCATACATATTAAATATCCCTGCCATATACAAAATTAACAGTTGAAATAGCCAACAGCAGAAGATCACACTCATAAATAGACAACACAACAAAACATTTGGATCATAAAAGAAAAAAGATAGGACTCATAAAAGAAAAGACAAGACAATCATTTCCTGTTCTAAACCAATTCAAGGTTTTCTTGATGCTGCAAAATTAAATATTTTCATTCTGTTCGACAATACAACAAAAGCTCACCTCCTCTTTGTCTTCTTTGTCAGACTCGTCTGAACTGTCCCCTCCTTCTGTCTTTGACTGTTCTGAAGAACTCTGCTGTTGAGCAGGAGGCTGAGAACTTGCATTGTTCAACTTCTCAATCTTTGCTGCAAGTAGAATAAGAAATATTAACACACACTCACAACAGTTTTGCCACACATAAATTCCTCCTCTCTATGATAAAATAGTCTTTCTTACTTCAAAAAATTAACGTTGCATTATTTTTACTAAATTTTTGCTGATATCACATCACCTGATAATTACTAGTAAAACTAACTTTTAAATAAAATGGCAAAAAATTCCTAAATGAGAAAACTGTAATATCTTTTGTTATACGTAACACACAGCGGCAAAACAAATTCTTTGTCTTATTCGTATTAATTTGTTGTATTTTTACAGTACATAAAACTAACCAAACCAAACAGTATCAAACGCAAGACATTTCATCATTACAATCAGGCAACTTATCTCTGTTACCAACGACATATAAAATTTGAGATCCAGCTTTTACTTTAGTAAAAGTTTTACGACGCTCACACCTGCATAAGAGATCTAGCTTTCGTCAATTTGATTACAGCAAAAACATAATCAAGTCCCAGACAATTAATTCCTTTGCATTTGTCTTTTCGGAGTTGTTTTTTATCCACACGTGTCCCGTGTGGGCTTCTTCAAGTACTACCAGCTTTACATTCCACCTGCCTCCATAGCCACTTTGTTAGCGTGAAACATACTCTTGAACTGGAGAAAGACAAACGAAAAAGCGCCGGGCAAAAAGAAACTTCTTGACAATATCAGATTTGTTTTTCAAATGTTAAACAGTGCTTTCCACCAGCTGAAGCTGAAAAGTAAGGAAAATTCTGCTGGGGGTCTGGGGAAATTGAAACCCCCAGCAGGGTCCAGGGACAGAGTCCCGGTGGGGGTTCAGGGGGCGAAGCCCCCGAAGAAATTGAAATTGAGTACTTTTAGAGGGTTGAAAATGGCATATGGGAGCCTGTTTGAAGAGATTGCCAACAACCCATACTACCTATTTTTTCGCCCAGATTTTGTCTTGTTTAATTTCTTCACCAATATATCTTTCCATTGCTGGCAATGTTTAAAAGCAGGTTCCCCTTCCATTGCTACTATAATTCAATTAATTTGTCATCGCACCTTTGATACTGATAGAAGGCAAACCTGGGAATAATGAATAGATATATGTAGGCCGTACCTTCACAATACAGTTACCAGACCTGACATTCTATGAAGCCTCAAAATTAGGATCTCAGGGAGAGAAAAATCGGGATTTGGTGAAAAAAATCGGGATCAACAGCAAATCACCAAGGTGACTGCCAAAGCTGACTTAAAACTTTTCCATGGGTGTCCATAAATTACTCGGCCTATATGCTTTCTGTGTGTCTTTGCGTGCGTGTTATTATTTTTTTGTAAATCCTGAAGCATCACGTTCAGCACTCCTAGTCCAAAAGTCTCTACCCCCCCCCCCCTCCAACAAATAAGTCCCGAAATACATGAACTTAGGTTGACCCCGTCAACGGACGGTCCCCGACACGCAGAACTCACACGGCGATGTCATGTCACGTGATGCATATGCGCGATTGAAACAATTTTACTAACAGGTCCGACTAACTGCACGTTCACACAAAACACTCGGATGAGAAACAGTCGTTCTACTTCCAGGATAACGACGGGGGGGCGACCGAACAAATGTACCAACAAATCTCTTATCCCTCATAATGCGTTCAGACTAAAGCAACGACAACGGCCGTATGTTAGTCTTGCCACCGCAGTTTACATGTAGTTGTGTAAGGGTTAGAACGACTGTCGCTCGTCCGAATCTTCGCAATGATAATTTCTCTAGATCTAGAATCTAGACAATAAATTTGCAAAAAAAATTCTTTCTGACAGTAATTTTCTGTCTAAGATCACATGTCAATATACTTGATCAACGCGCAGATTCTTCCAGCCGCGGCAACAACCCGAAGATAGACAGACGGAATGAGGGAATGATAGAAAGGAGGAAAGTGGCACAAAAAGTGCGCCAGATTTTGATCAATCTGCAGGTAAAAAATGTACTGCCGACAAGCCTGCAATGAATGCATGGGGCAGAGTAGAATAATGGCCGATTGCAGGAAATGCGCAATCTGGCAGGTTTCTATAGCATAAACTATTGCCGAGAGAATTACCGTAAATATCCGTAACTTATACAAGACATACGAAGGCGAGTACGGATCTTTTGCTACGGAATTTCGGTAGTCCTACGCTGTCGCAGATTTTTACGGAGGCAGTTGATGATGATGGAGGAACAAGTACGGAACTAGCAGAAAGTACGGATTTCCGTAAAAATACGGAAGAGTGGAAGCACTGGTTAAAGAACTTTATGTATTTTTCCGGGTCTTTCCCAGGTACCCGCGATTTTATTCCAATTCCCGGGGCCAGGCAGTCACCCTGACTACCTTATTTGATTTCTTTTTCATCCAAGATATTCTCAGCAGTCTCCTAAAAAAAACACATTTCTGTTGCTTTTATTTTATTTTTGCATAAACACTAAACAGATGAAAGACTTTTGTTCCACCACTTCATCACTGTGATAGAAACAGGATTCAAATTTGCAAGCAGAGACGCTGGTTTAAAATAAAGTTCTTGTCAAACTAGCAAACAGTACCAAACCTTAGAACTTTATAAAGAGGACATTTTATTTCACACACCTTCCCAGTCCACAAGGGGCTGAGGTTTATCCCATGTTGATTCAAGTGTTCGAGAATTATAGTAGTAACTCTTGCCATCTGCATTTTTGTGCTCTGACCATTCTGCAACTTCAGGGGGCTTTGGCGGAAGCTGAAAAAAATATGTTTGATACACATGTTTACAAATATTTATAGACAATAAGGAACTTAAAATTAAACTATCAAACCGCCTTACACCACTATGTGCATCTAAATATAAACTATATCTACATCCACATCCAAAACACCTAACTATTTAGCGATGCAAATGAAAATTTATTTTTCGCTTGCGCCCTTTTTCATTTGGTACCTAAGAAAGGGTTTTCTATTCTAAGAATTATGCCTTTTGAATTTCAGGAATTGGTTCATATATTTAAAAAGTTATAAGGTTGTTAAGTCCAGCAAAATAGAGATGACCCATATATAGCAAAATATTCCTAAAAAGTGGACCACGTAACAATAGATTCTGAAAGAAAATCCGCAACATCTCAGTATTTTATTGGGGTGTTGGAAAAAACTTGGCTACTCAACGTGTTTTTGGGTGGAGAAATCATCTTTGCGGTCAATTTCACAAACCCTTTCGTATTTATTTTGTTGTAATTAAAATTTTGGTATAAATATTACCATTTTGAGAAAGACAGTTGTCGGGACGATAGCATTTTATTTATAAATAGCATCATATTACAACATGGGATCTTTAAGAATATGTGTGTGCGCATAGAGAAAGGTACCAAAAGTCGCCCCAGACTGTTTCAAGCTACAGGTTGATAATTACAAAAATCACTGTTTTGACCAAAATGTGTTTCCATAAAAAATGGTAGATCCATTTTTTTACAATGTGCTCAAAGGGTTTTCATTGATTTGACTTCTAAATATTTTATTTTGAATTATTTTGAGGGTAGGGTATAACAAAAACAAATAATGAAAACAGCTTTTGAAAGGTGTTAAAATCTATTTTTGAAGCACGTTTCTCTTCCCTGTTATGTTTTACCATTGAATTCCATTCATGATATTGATGCCAACAGAATGCCAAATTGGAAATGAGTTTTCCATGAATAAATACATTTAAAAAATCGTTATTTCAAAGTTTGTAAGTGTTCTCACGTTTTTAAAACAAAAAAGCTCATTTTCTCAAAAACTACATGAGATATCTAAGAAATTCAAAGATCCCTATGTTCAGTGTTGAATTTCCTATTAGGTACAACTAGTAACTATTAACTCAAAAATGGTCAAAATCTGACTGTTGGTACCTTTCTTTAGGCACACACACATATGTTGGAAGCGCGACTAAATAATGGCAAAACTTTCTTTGATGACTTTAGACCATGCCAACCATAAAATATAATTCAATTCAATCTAACATGACGTAAAATTAAAAACCTTTTTTTTTCTGTTGAGACGCGAACACTCCGAAGCCAGATGAGCTTGCCTCGGAATACCCCCATAACAATGTTACAGGGGAACAGAGAGAAAAACAACAAGATGCCCACACCCACCATTGCCCTATTTCAAGTGACCAATGAGCGAGCCCGGAATAATCATACGGGCATTTGCAGGTCACATACATTTGCCAAGGGTGTGCGGGGAAAAAAGGCCCGTCTCCCAGCGAAGCCGCTTTTGACAGGGGGGTAGTGGTACATTTATAATAAATTTTAAACAACTACTTGAAGTAGAACTTTCAAATTTGAGGACACTATTGAGGAAAGATAGATCTCTTACCTTCTAGACTTGAAAATCAAGCTCCTTGTAGTTTATTGAATACCCGATACAAAAGTGTTCCCGAGACCAAAAATATCGGTTAATTTATGTGTACAAACTTCAACGTACACATATAATTAGGTTGCCCCATTTTCTGATTGGTTGCCAAGTTTCATTCACATTGGTCCAGAAATAGAGCCGACTGAGTTTGAGAAAGTTAGTCACCCACATCCTGATCCAGTCCAAAAATACACCCGCAAACGACGATCAAACTTTTGCCACGTACGCAAACCCGATTTGCATTGCTGAACTACTGGTTTATTGAAACTAAATTTCATAAGCTTGTCCACAAAGACTTTATATTGTCTTGAACTAATGAAACAGGAGATTCAAGCATCAAAATGGAGAGAACTTTTCAATTTTAACACATTTCAAAACTTTTATCACCTTTTCTGCTTCACATTTCAGAAACAAAACTTTAAAAAAATCATAACCCTTTCCACTTCACAACATTTCAGAGACAAAACTTTATAAAACATAACCCTCAGCAATAAAAAGTCAAAGCTTTAAAGCAATACCTGAGATGATGGGGGTTTCTGAACAGTGGCGTCCTTTGCAATAGGAGCAGGTGCTTCAGTCGGAGGCGCTGTTGCTGTGGCTGGAGCTGTAGTTACGGCAGCTGGAGCTGCAGTTGCTGCAGCTGGCTGGGGCATGAATGGGTTCATAAATCCTGGCGGTAAAAGGCTTGGGTTGAAAGCTGGCGTTGGTGCAGCTGTGGAAGAAACAGGAGTAAATCAACTTCTAGACAAAAAATTTAATAAATGACTAGAACTGAAGCAAAGGAGTACACTTTCTGAAGGTATTTTAATGTAGAAGATTGCTTTATCAGAAATGCCAGTGAGCATAAGCAAACAAATAACAAAAATGAAATGAAATGAAACCAAGAGCGTCCTTTTTGTTGAATGATAAACGTACTGAAAAAATAATAATAAAAAAAAAAAAATTGAGACTTAAGTACCAAACCCTGGCAAAAAATGAAAAAGGTTTGAGTGAGAAGCACATAAACACCAGAACAATTATTTAGAGCTGGGAAAGAGCAAGGCAAATAGAAATTAGAGGGAAAACAAAGAAGTAGGATCTATCAGTTCCACTCTCTTGCCACCTGCATGAAAAAGGAGACCAAAAGACATCTAAAAAAAAAGCCATGGGTTTCATGAACAATTTTAGTTTTTCATTAAGCATATCCGAAAGCTTCACCTAAGCCCAACAACACATTAACATATCAACTCGAAGTAAAATGTTTTGCCCCACTTTGTACATCAGATATGCTAACCTATACGCTGAGGACAGTCAAGTATTTCTTTTTTTTTAAACAGTTTTCTGTTTACTCTATCATTGCCTTTGTGACAAAACCAGCTAATCTAGAAGAGAAAATCTGACAGAAATTTAAAACAAAAAAACCAACTTGCAGCAACCTGGAGGAAAGCCTTATTTCCTACATACAAGAACCATTTCTTCAGGCCTGTCTTAGACAGAACATATGAAACAGATGATTTCATGCTTCCCACTCATCAAAAAGAAACAAATCCCTTGCGGGGGACGGGGGGGTCAGGAATTTTATAACCATTATCAAGGGTAATTCAAAAGCAGACAGAGCGAAGAAGAAGAAATGAAGAGAAATGCAAGATAAAAATCGTAATACGGCCATGGAAAGTCTATTTCCCCTGGATGTCAAGGACAGGGGTTGTAGGATGAATGTACCACGTAAACAGAGGTGTGATGAAACAGGTCTCAGTGTAATCCTCGTCGAGTTAAAGGGGGGAAAAAAGGGAGCAGGGGGAGTGTGTGTGATTATTTGCTATCAACATGGCTCTCACAAAATCAAAAAAATAAAAGTAACCGACAGGCCAAGTCACAAACTTTGATCAACTAGCAATAACCACGCCTCGGTAAAACCTCATTGGCTATGGTAGCGCATCAGTAATTGACCTTGGCTGTCACCCATGGAGCAAAAGCACAAGCAATTTTTTAACATCTTGTCAAACTAAGGTTGGTCTTACTCCTGGCTTTGGCACAAGTAATGTTTTCCTACAGGCAAAGTGGAGCTGAGCAACTACAAAGCCTCTCTGCACAGAAATAATAAATATTGTTAAAGTTAGACAGCATGTGATGTAGTCATGCAGACTGTCCGACAGTCGGGTTCCGATTGTTTTTCTTCTTTATACACCCAGTAGGTGGAGAAGGGTGGGGGTGGCCAAACAGGAAATGAAATTTTCAAAATCGGAATCAGGAGTATCATGATCATATTTTTGTTAATTATTTTCTTTTCAATCATAACAATTCCACCAAATTTGAAATGATGGACTATCAATTAGTCATATCTTTTTTTATTTTGACATTTTGTGGGTTTGTTGGGTCTAATCACAAGGGCAATGATATAAATCTCAACACACAAAACAGTTGACAGGGTGCAATTTCGGAAAAACATTTGCATAGACCTGCATGTGAGCCTCAACCAGATTGAAAATTTTGCGCACCCCCCCCCCCCCAAATCCATTCCCCCCCATAAACAACACACCCCAAAACACACAAGGAGCTGCTATAGTGGCCTTCTATTGTAATAAAGGGTTTGATACAATAACAACATCGAACTGGAATGTGAATCCTCCATATAGTAATATAGATAAATTTATATTTAGTAGAACAAGTGAATAGGAATAGGCCTTGAACGAAATCCGCATCCGAACAGAGGGAAGGGGGACTCAGCTGAGTCTAGATTCCAGAAGATCTTATAATTTACGCACCTGATGAAATGCACTTTTACCAACATTAACATTACAATTACAGCACAACCTATAATTGGGTTTGACACAGTAGAATTGGAATATGAATCCTCCATTGAGGTCTAGATCCATATAAATCTAGATCTAGTAGAACAAGTGAGTAGGCCTTGAATGAATCCACATCAGAACAATCGGTAAACAGACGAAATTCAAAATGGCCACGAGCACGAAACTGAAAGAAGATCTAATTTACGTCGTCGCCCTTTTTCATATTCGTATTTCTACTTCAGGTTCCGACAATTATGTCGGAAACACTGATGTCAGCACAAAAACGAAAGTGCAGACAAAGCCGACCGGAGAAAAGGGGGTGGGGAGTACTGGCAATAGGCCAGGCCTCGCACTTCGCAACATTGACGAATACAGGTGGGCCTAGCGATAGCATCAGCCAGGTCACGATTGTCGGATTCCAGACGATTGTCGGCAAACATGCAGGTCTAATTTGCATCATTTCAACTGCCCCTTAAAATAATGACAAGGATAATGATCACAAGAGTCAACAGTGTGACAACAATACCTGCTGGTGGTGGCAGAGTAGTCTGGTCAGCATTCCCAACTGGTGCTTGCTGGGAAGCAGCTTGAGCTGTAAAAGACCCAAAAAAATATGGATGCAATCTCCCTTTCCTTGGAATCTTAAAATTACACGAGTGAAATATTCAAGTTTTATGGAGCGCTAGACATAAAATAAGCCACAACCATGTAAAAAAACTCAAAATTCTAAATTGCAAATGCTGGTAAGGGATGCAAAAATTCCACAAGAGAACCAGATTTATATTTTGAATTACAATTGATCCTTCGCAAAACTTGAAATATCAGGCCTACATAACCAACCCTGCAAAATGTCATCATAAAATAACAACAACAAAAAACAAAAATGCACAAACACAGTAGAGTCCTGATAACAAACTTCGCAGAACCAGAGAAAAATTATTTTTGTAAAGCAGAGAACTAATGAAAAGAACAATAAAGGAAGGAAACTCCTTCACTGTCAGACTGGTTACATGAAACTACCTTGAGCAACAGCAGCCTGCGCAGCAGTACTGGTCCCTCCAGACACAGCAGGTGCAACCCCACCCTGAGCCTGAGCTTGGCTGGTCTGGAAAGCCTCCCATTCCACCTGTGACACAATCCTAGCATTTTCCGGCTTGGACCATGCAGCTTCTCGAGTACGTGCACTATAGTAATACACCTAAAAAGAAACAAAACACCGACAAAATTACTAATAAATTCAAGTGTTCATTAGCCACAGAAAAAATAAGTTTGATGTTTGGCCTACGCAAATAGTTCACCTAGTCCCCCAGATTGGGGAATGAGATTAGGAGTAGCATGCCCCACTTGCAAAACAAATCACCTCTGTATTCCGAAACTTGACTAAAATTGAAACATGATTTTAACCAACTCACTGCCAGTCTTAACTAAGATCAGTATACTACCTACCAGAGTTTTCTACACATCTAAAAAAATCACATACTCTGTAACTTTTAATGTAAATGTTAGGATACTGAAATTTAGCCAATTTAGTTTTTATTTTGAGTTACACGACACTTGCGACACAAGTAGGTCATAAAAGTGCCTAAGAGTAACATATAGAAAAGGAGGAGAGATAAGGATGACAGATGTCAGAAAAGAAGGAGTACTACTCCATGAAAACAGAATAAAAGATATCCCCATAAACTGCTGTAAACAAAATACCATGACTAAAAAAAAAAAAAACAATTTAAAAATAAGGTTATTTACCTTCCCTTCTGGAGATTTAGTTTCTACCCAGATGTCTTGGGTTGTGGGGTCGAGTGGAGGCAAGTTCTGTGGTACTGGAGGGGGAACTGTCATCCCCATCATTGCCGGAGGCATACCAGCTCCAAATCCAGGAGGCGGCATGGAAAAATTTGGAGGTGGGAAATTCGGGGGCGGGATCATTGGACGCTGAAAGAAAAACACATTTAATGCTTAGAAAAAAAACTATGAACATGAAAAAGTAAAACCAGTCCTATTATATATAACTAATGATCCACCGTAACAATTAGAAGCTCCTATAAAAATTCTATATTTTCCCATTTGATCAATTTCTTCAAACATATGACCTTGCTCAGAACAGAATACCTCGTACCCATAATTATACACATGTATTTTCAAAGCATGAATCTGACAATAACAAGAAAAGTTAATTATACCGTGTTTTATGTTTACCGAAATGATACCTTCAACTATTGTATTGCTTGCACAATAATACCACAGCATGCTTGTGCAACATACACATAACACTTTATGAACCCCAAAAATAAGTGCACTGGTACTATTTGTTTATAGAATTGGTAACAGCCACATATTGCTCTAAAAGAGTTGGGAGGAAGAAAAATCGAATAACAATATCCTCCAACTACTTTATTATGTTTACCAAAAAAAAATAAAAATCTTATAATTGATAAAATAGACAGTGCCAGGAACAAAAATCCTCACAAACAAAACAAAATTTCAACAGGGACAATTTTGAAAACCAAACTCTAAAGTGGAAAAACTGTAAATCAACTCACATTATTTGGGTTCATTCCCTGAAACAAACAAAAAAGTAAATTTACTTTAGAAAGAACGGATGAGGAAGGAAAACATACGTGAAGAGAATAAAAAGTGAAGCTAGCTACAGCAACCTACTTGTGTTTCTTCACAAAAAAGTTATTTTCTTTGAGAACATAGCAGGGATGCCACTGAGATTTTATGAAAATAACCGAAAATTTATATTTACACACAAAAAGCTACTTGATCGACAACCAATTGGTTAAACAGAAAATAAATGCTAGGAATAATTATACCTGTTCTTATGGCTTTGGAGACAGATTCCAATAAAAATGACAGAAATAATGAAAAAAAAACTGGGAAAAAATACCCCAGCATCCCTGATTAAAAAATAAAGATCAATTTTCTTCTGAGTAGAGATTTTACCCTCAAGAGTTTCTGGTTCTAATACAATACATTACATATTGCATCTCAGAATAAACTATCACAAATCACAAAAAGACCAAAGTTGAACATTTCTCACCATTCCTTGGGGGCCCATGCCAGGTGGAGGCATCCCAGGTGGTCCCATAGGCCCTGGTCCAGGTCCAGGCCCATTAGGCCCCATGGGTCCAGGAGGCCCCATAGGGCCAGGTCCAGGAGGACCGTTGGGTCCCATGGGCCCGGGCCCAGGCCCATTGGGTCCCATTGGCCCTGGTCCATTTGGACCCATACCTGGTGGTCCTCCCATCATTGGTCCACCGGGGCCTGGTCCAGGTCCATTGATAGGTGGCCGCATTCCTTGATTAGGTGGCCCCATACCAGGAGGACCAAAGTTTGGGTCAAAGGGAGGCCTCCCAAAAGGAGGTCCTCTCGGTGGTCCTCTCATCCCCGGCGGCCCTCTCATCCCCATGGGAGGGCCCCGCATTCCCATTGGTCCCCCAGGTCCTCTGAACCTATTCATCGGGGGTCGTCCAAATGGTGGCATTCTACAATACATTGATGAATTTAGTGTTAAAATAAGATGTAGTCAGAATATATCACTCAAAACAAAAATCATTCAGGCACATAAAAAGTTAGAAATACAACTTTTAATAAACCAGGCAAAAATTGCTTTTAAACAAGCTTAAATGAAAGATAAGTAAATTCTAAGAACAGTGGCGCCAGTCTAGTCGGTGACAAATCTGCAGCTCCTCCGAGTTTTTTAAACAAAAGGAAAAACCGCACAAACGGGGCAACTTCTCCGGTTTTAGAAATCTGTACGGCATTATGCACTCGCATGTAAGTTTTTATGCTCAGACTACGCGATGCTCATTTCTGCATCAGTTTTAGATGTAATTTGCGAAAATAACAGAAATTATATTAGTAGATTCGAGTCGTTTGTGACGCAACCCTCCCGCTGAGTCTCGGACATCTTACAGTCGAGCTCTGCATTTCTAGGAGATTTACGGAAAATCACGAGGACTTTCCGCGAAGCCGAGGCTAAAAACTACATATCCATTTGAAGCCATTCTTTTATTCTTTAGCATCCTTTTCGGTGAGGCGGATGCTTTGTTTTGTTTTCCAAGTTTTTTTCTGTACTAAGTCTCTTCCGTCCGAAGCACACCAATGTCAGAATCCATAACAAATCCAACCCATTCACACGCGTTTATTTGTCATTTCTATTAGGTTTATATTGATTAAAAGACTGCAACACAATGTGCAGCACATGCAGGAAGTAAACAAATGATGTAAGGGACAAAAATAGCACATTCTTTTGTGATTGTCTTGTTTGATGCCGATAAACGCTTTTGAGTCGTCCAGATCGGTGCCGATGATGATTTCGAGGTCTTATAGGCTGTTCCGACATTGGGAGACATTTTTTCAACTGATTTCTTTTTCTTTTTGTTATTTCCTTTTTCTATTGTTTATTTTTATTTTTAGTATTTTCATATTGTATGCATATTGCAGACTGGCCAACTTTTGAGACACTGAATTCTGGAATTTTGATAGCGCCGGAGCGCCACAGACACACACTTCTGTGATAAAGCTTCTAAAAAAAGCCCCCACACCACAAACACAGTTCAAACCAGTGGACAAACAGAGAGAGAGAGAGGCCGTTTCGGGAAAGGTTCGGGAACGACGATAGCAATTCGGGAATTTCTCGAAAAATTCGGGAAGGTTGGCAAAACTGATAATGACTTTTGTGGCCAGTGAATTCGACAAAATGTTTTATTATACCAAATTTGGTGATACTCATGGTGCGTTGTTTGCACCAAGTTAAGGTTACATTTTATTAAATAACTTTTTTCACATAAGCCTTTGCAGTTTGCAGTCTCTCTAACATTTTTAAATTCCCCTTTAAAAGGCATTTCCAAGGATAATATATGAAGTCGACAATTTGCCCCAAACCCATACCTGCCAACATTGCCTGGGCCAAAATCTGTAGTTGGACACAAATTTTTGTCCAAAAATCTGTAGTTGACCTAAAAAATCTGTAGTAGGTTATATTACCACCTGTCGCATACTTAACTTGGGACCCTTATCAATATTTTGACCCACATCAAATATGCATGAATGTGTTTGCGACTTCCAACAAATGTAGAAAATGACAAAGAACAAAAAAAAGACAAATATGAAAACTACCAGAGGCATTTACCCAATAGTAGTTGGTGCGGTTCCTGTCCTATTCATACCTGCACGCACACACACAACAAATGAAAACCAAAAAAAGGAGTGTAAGTATAAAATTACACCTAGAAATCTAGATCTAGATCAAGAGTAAAATTACCGGTTCGGTCAAAATTAGGACGAAAACAGGCACGTCGACTTTAAAGCTTTATTCCCCTACCTGCCTTGCCCTAGAGACAAACCAAAACCAGCTACTTGAAGCCCTGTGATTGGATGACCCAAGGAATGTACTGTTTGAGCTTGTTCGGGATATTTGAGGCCCTTTCTGGGTGCAAAAGTGATGCCTGATTTATTTACGTGCTCAGTCACATTTTTTTGGTTTTCTCATGGATTCGGGCAGTATTTGGACATTCGGTCATTGTCAATTATTATCACATTTGTTTCTTTGCAAGCTTAATAACATGATTTTTAATGCTTGTTATCAACACTTGGACACAATGATAGTTTGTCTAAAGTGGTTTTCACCATTTATAGCTATTTTAATGAGTATGTATCTGACCCACTCTACTATGTGGTATCTGACTCTACTACACTGGAATCTGGCTCACTCAACTACACTGGTATCTGACTCTGCTACACTGATATCTGACTGTATTACACACTGGTATCTGACTCTACTACACTTGTGTTTGACAGAGCTAATATGCTGTATCTGACTCTATTATTATTCAAATTATGCACAAAATCTTAATTCTTTATTATATACAAACCATTGGCACTATATTATCTTCTACTGATTTTATGTTACAATTCGGCACCCCCCCCCCCCCCCTCCTTTGGGCAAAAACGGCGAGACTGAACGGCAAATTCTCTTTCATCCTTGATAGGGCCTCATATGCAAATAACTCTCCAGCTTTCAGAGTTTACCAAAACGTAGAATCTGGGCCACAGGCTCCTTCATCCACAACCAATATTAACTCTTCCGGGGAAAGAGCTTCACGCTGTTTTGCTCAGTTGATGAAGAAAAAGCTGTCTTAAGGACTATTTTTAGCAAAATATCGCCGTAACTGTTTAGCAATGACCACGAAAATCCTTTTTTTGCCAGAAAGTGTTTGCAAATAGGTGCATTTTGTAGCTTTATCTTCACAGAGCATGGAACTTTTTGAATTTTTGAAATCCATCAATAAACAAAAAAGTTACGGATTTTTTAATCAATTAATTTCTAGTACACTTTTATATAATGAAAACCCCAAAATATGGGACGTTCTTTGGTGAGTTTTGAGACAATATTCGTCATAACTCCCTCGGAGTATTTAAAAGAAACTTGGCAACCCAATACATTTTCTAGTGCAGAATCTAGTCCTGCTTTCAGATTTTTCATAGCTATCCTATTTTTTCAGTTATGAAGACGTTTATAGGTAAAAATGTGGCGGTTTTCGGTGCCTTTTGAGACAATATTTGTCAAACCTCGCCTATTTCTTGGAATATGTACATGAAACTTGGCAGTCTAGTACATTTTTTAATGCAGAATCTAGTCATGCAGTCAGATTTTTAATATCTGTCTTACTTTTTGAGTTGTAAAGACATTAACAGGTAAAAAAGTAGCGTTCTTTAGAGATTTACAAAGATTATCAGTCATATGTTCTCCCAAAGTCATGATATTTGAATGAAACTTGGCAACATAAAAGGTTCCTCCTTGCCAAGCAATGTTCTGGATCAAATTGTCACAAAAATGTAAGTAGAGAGCTACTAATAAATCCAGTTCTGTACTAGTAAAAGCATGCATACTTTGTTATAGACAATACGATCGTCTCTGTGTATATCCATTGTTGGACAGTGCCCTATTGTGTGGTAGATTAAGATGCGTTCAGATAATATAGTTTACAAGTCATGGGAATACTTCGCATGTGTAGGCTACAACTCATACAATAAATGTAACATATTTACACCCCCATTTCTCTCTCTCCCTCTCTCACACGCGCACACACACACACATGCACGCGCGCGCACTCACGCACGCGTGAACGATAACAATGTATAAATGGGACTATCTTCCCAGACTGGACTAAATAAGTACCATACTCTTTAATAACAATCTTAATGCCTCACTTTTCCAAACAGATAACAATCTTAAAGGCCCAGTGTGCTTTCCCAAGAGGGGGGAACAGAGCACACAGGATAAGTCCAAGTGTGTGCTTTCCCAAGAGGGGGGAATAGGCTTTCATAACGCAAACACAATACCATACCACTTCTCAAGATGTTAGCTTTTCTGTTTCTAGTCTTCTGTCATGCAATCAAGCAAATAAAAATGACTACATCTATTGTATTGTGACTAAAATGCAACAAAAACACAAGTTATCAAGGCCCCCGTTTAGTTTTCAAGTATCCTTCCCCCCCTTTCTGGTTCACATAAGCGGGGCCTCGTTTGTAGCGCCCGAGGCGACCGATGGCTGATGACGTCACTCAGTGGAAATTTCCAGGCCGCCGGCCATTCACCCAGCGTGCGCAAATGGCAATGTCGCTTTTTCCCTTAGTTACTCCCACGTTTTTAAAGATTACACGAAAACCGCTAAACACAGAAGCTTGAAATTTTAAGGGAATAAAGAAAAATGGTGTACAACGTATCAGTCAGTTTGACAAATCACAGCTTCGAAAAATCTTCAAAGCGCACCACATCAACCACTTTCGCAAACGTTTTCGACTGCTTCTAGGATGGGTACAATGTTGTCAAACTGCATACTACGAGATAGACCTCTTTTCTGATTGGCTGCCAAGTTTCATTCATATCCATTCACGAGAAGCGGCGTGAGAGCGAGTTGAAAACAACCTTTGCGTTAGTGCGTCCCACGAAACACCCCCGCTGCGGGGGCCAAAAATCGGCAGAACAAAACGGGCTCGGTGGGCATTGCTAAACTGTTGTTTCAACGAAAGTAAGGGAGGTTGCTTTAGGTTTGTGTGTCACTCTTTAGGGGATAGATTTAAATACAAAGTTTTAAACAATGTTTTTGTACTCGAGTGCCCGACAGCTAAAAAAAAACATGCTGCCCGACCCGGTGTGATTACTCTAGATCTAGATTATATATCTAGATCTAGATATATCATGATCTAAATCTAGATTTAGATTCTAGCCTCTATAATTATTAATTCAACTTCAACAATGGATAGGCTGGTAAGCCGATAGGCCTACCACCGACTCCACCTGCAACTGCTGCCATGGCCCATGCTCCAGCAGTAGATTAGATCCGGGAGGACTTCCGTAACGAGCGACCATTATGAGACAGCAGAATTGAGGGCTTGGGGTAGGAGTACGGGTAGGGGTAAGGCGTAAGGGTAGGGTTAGGGTTAGGGGTAGGGGTAGGGTTAGGGTTAGGTCTAGGCCTCTTCTTTATTGTGTTTGATGGGGTGGTCGCTCCTTACGGAAGTCCTTCCTTAGATCCGATTGGTTTAGAATATAGAATTTTTCTCATCTAAACAAAAAATAATGGTAGAGGTAGCGTCAATTGCCACCGAGTGACGCGTGGCAATTGACAAAAATTGATTTTTTGTCAATTGCCACCGAGTGAAGCGGTGTCAAGTCTGAAAACAACACAAGGTATTTTTTTACTTTTCCTCCCGTCTCACACTTAGCTACCTGTTGTCTATTTTCTACTAAATATTGATGCTCTAAACACGAATATCAACTTCTTTTCCGTCGCAAATTAATAGTTTTAGAAATGGGAGTGTATACAGACCCGGTAACCGGGAATAAAGTCACAAAGTATACAGACCCGGTAGGGAAACTCTTTTGTGATTTCGGAAAGTTTCAGCACCCTCTTGGCTCAGGGTAGAACTAGGTTCTTCTAGACCTATGGTCTAGGTCTAGATCTAGACAGACATATAAATCATTGATCTAGTTTCGAGGCTAGCCTAGATCTAGATCTAGATCTAAAAATAAATGAAGATTGCGGATGTCTTTTCGATGAACGATCGTTTTTCCCCTGTTTTGGAGTTGGAGGAATCACAATTTGAAGAAAAGAACAATGTCATAATTTCAATCGAGCAGTCACCCCCTCTCTCTCTCTCTCTCTCACACACACACACACACACACACACACACACTACCGGGTCTGGGCGCTGAAACTTTCCGAAATCACAAAAGAGTTCCCTTACCGGGTCTGTATACTTCGTGACTTTGTTCTCGGGTCTGTATACACTTCGTTTTGAAATAATTGATTGTTCTACTTGAGATAGACGTGCTTTGGAGGGGGGTTCCAGGGAGGCCTGCCCACCTGGGGTAAAAGAAAATCTGGGGGGTTACAGGGGGGCATGCCCCTCTGTTTTAAACCATTATTTGATAATTTTACAGTTAGATTTGAAGTTTTCCTGAAAATAATTGATTTGCGACAGTTTTAGTGGGTGATCTGCAGCAAACAGTACAGCAGTTTGACCCCTGAAGCAGTGCTTCTGTGTGCGGGAGTGAAAGTAAAAATTTACCCAACACAATCTACTTTAGCATACATGTGTGTCTAATAATAGGTCAATTTGTTCTCAATTAATTTCACTGGACGAGCATCTAAATCTAGAAATCTAGATTCTAGACCTAGTCTAGAGCTACAGTACCAACTTGGCGTGTTTTCAATGAGACGTAGGCCTAGATCTAGGCTAGCCTTAGCCTACACTTTGGTGTAGAACCAACACAGGCAGTTCTAGAGTAGAGGTAGATCAAGATCTAGATCTAGATCTAGATCTAGAAGGTCACAAACGCAGACAAACTCAAGCAGAAAAGACACACACACACATAGATCTACACACAAACACACACACATAAACACAGAGGGACAGAGAGGCAAACGCACAACACCGAGCACAATAAGCTAGACCTACCCACCAACGCAAAAGAGCTCCAATTTACTCGGTGGCAATTGACAAAAAGTCAATTTTTATCAATTGCCACCGCGCCACTCACCACTCGGTGGCAATTGACTGAATTGACACTACCAAAAATAATACACTATGACAAACAACTCTTACCCTCTTGGTCCACCGAGTCCGCGTGGACCCATGAAACCTCGCCCCCTGGGTCCAGGAAATCTGTTGTTGAATTTATTAAATTGGTCGTTCTGCATTCCACCATCCATTGGCCCACCACCCATGTCTCCGTGCTGATTGTCGTTCATGCCTCCGCCATCATTCCCCATCATGCCCATGTCATTACCCATGTCCTGATGGTTATTCATCCTTCCACCAGTATCCATGGAATTGTCCATATTTGCATTTTCTGAACTATTATCGTTGCGTCGCAAATCCTCATCCTCTTCATCCATCATGGAAGGACTTGGGCCATTATTGTCTTGTACATTATCGCCCATCGCGTCAATAGCCTCCATGTCGGCCATGATGCTAATGAATATTTATTCTAATATAGCTGAAGCCTGATAGGCTCCTCTCCTTTTCCCCCCAGTTTTCTCGAGAAATACAGACTAAAATCGTAATCCCGCGATTGTCGGCTCAAAGAAAGAGGATGGAAGCTAGGGGGGGGGAGCAAAAAGAGATCAGAAAGATCGAGAGAGAGAGAGAGAGAGAGAGAGAGAGAGAGAGAGAGAGAGAGAGAGAGAGAGAGAGAGAGAGAGAGAGAGAGAGAGAGAGAGAGAGAGACTAGAGAAAGAGAGAGAGAGAGAGAAGGCGAACAAATGTACGCAACAAATTTAATTGCATATACATAATACAAGTATAATAATATATAGACCTATTTCTTCAACAGCCGGATAGAACGTCGTATCACAACTTACAATTTCTAACGAACATGGCAAGACGCACAAAATTAACGGTTTACTAAGCTATCATAAGTGAATAGCAGGACGGGAAATTTTACACGGTGGGTGCCATTTAATCACATCGGGCTAATGCAGTTCATTTACCGGAATTCTGGATGAGGCCTAGCGACTTTAACTACTCATGCTTTGGCCTCATAAATACAGCAGGTGGCCTGAATCCTTAATTTTATTTTAAAATCAACTCAAAAGCTAGGCCTATAATATAATATTACATACAGAGTACTGAAAATAAGTCTAAACTTAGATTGTACTCCCGTTTTCTTTCTTTTTTTTCCAGGAGTGACGAATACCTAGATAAAAGAAGACGGTCTTGTTATCTTGTGTACTTACCTGTGTACGTGCATGTTTTGAAATAAAAGTAACCGCTATCAGCACACAAAACCGAAGATACATACACACGCGGGGGTGCGCGCACACACACACACACACACACACACACACACACACACACACACACACACACACACACACACACACACACACACACGGGTATAACCAATAACCAAAGATACTCTACTATTATAACCGATCCTTGGTTTGATACGGCTGATTTTAAAGAAGTCATTGATATACCGGTGTATAAGTTGACGTTTTCAAATTAAGCAGAGCTGTTTTTAAAAAACGTTCATATTTCGATGGTGCTGAGTGCTGGCTCAATGAACATTTGAATTATTGAAAGCACCGATATTTCTGTCCGAACCTGGCTCGGGCCAAACCAATGGGTAAATACCTGAATAGAAAGTTTTGGTTTATAATTTAATGACCAGCCAGGCCTAAGGCCAATACAAACATCGAAATGCGCTAAACCTGGATAACAGGAATTGGCTGAAGAACTTCTTGGTCGCGCGTGCCGTTGAACCTAAAAAAATAATTATGGTACTTGATTTGTGTCATATGTTGTTTTTTCCAGGTTTTCTTCACCTTTCTCACTGATAGTTTACGCCAGAAGTATTGGACGACCGATCGATAATGGCCTTCAAGTGCGTTCACACCAGTAAATTTCAGTTGTCCGTGTTGAGGTAGATTCAACTTCAACAGGGATGCCAAGACAAAAGTCTTAGTTTTTTTATCAGCTGAAAAGACGAAGAGAGAAGACATACCGAATGAGATATTGGGTTTACCTAATTTTTCACTTCCTCTCAAATAAATTTTCTTGGTGAATACCACTATTTATTTCCACAAATAGGCCCTTTGTGAAGATGAGAAAAGGTTTTGCGTACGAGCACGAGACCAGACCGAGGCCTGCATCCACCACTAATATACTTGATGATGATGATGGTGATTGTGATGATTATCATGATCATGACGATGATGGAAGAAATTTAGGGAAGAAGACGAGTAGTAAAAACATTGATAATGACGAGGAAATAAAGGCTGGGGATGAGAAATAAATAAATCATGAGTTTCGAATAAATACATGGGTTTTTTCGCTGATGTCTTTCCCTGCCTGGGGGCATACGGTCTATTTCCACACCGTTAATTTTGTTATAGTGGTCCTACAAACACAGGATATATCAATTATTTGCATCAATATCCTATAGCATTATATACAAGTAGATATAAACATGTAAACACATATTTGAACTTGAGTAATGGTAAAGTCCACGAATCACGAACGCGAAAATCACGAATTCTCGGGTTTTCTTTCTACTAATTTCACGAAGTTCCAGAACTCGCAACATTCGAAATCTCGACGCAAACCTCGAATCTCGAACAAATCCATTTCGCATTCTCAACTAAAGACCCGGGTCGGCTTTATAGCCTTTCTTGCCACGGGTAGATGTTTTGTTGTTATTTATTTTTGTTATTGGTAAAGCAAAAAGTTGATCCATGTCTCACCACAAGAGGCTGGAGGAGTGTGGGGGGGGGGCAGGAAGGGGGGTTGGGGAGTGATGCTGACCGCACCGCATGACTGGCTCGCCACGCGTACAATCACGCTGTAAGACGTGCACGGTGTGGATGGCAAGAGGCATAATTTTCTGTAAGTAATCCAATGAAATGAGAGGAAAGGAATGACGTAAGAGTCGGCTGTGCACACTGCACACGTGAGATTTTCTGCTTTCCACTTTCATTCATCTTCTTGCTTTCACACTGTCAACATGTTCAGTTCATCAAGGGAACTACACACGTTAATTGTTTTAATGTTCTTTTTTTTTTGGCTCCCTTGATTTTCTCGCTATTTCCTTGCATTTGGGGCTTCACGGACATGATGAATTACGGAAATCTCGAATACTATTTCCAATCCCCGACGAATTCGAGTTACCCGTGTTTGGCTTTGACTGTATTTGATGAGAGTTCCTCCTCTTTGTCCATAGTTCCTAGCTGAAATGGACATTAACTGTTGAAAGAAACCGTTCTTACATGCATGCGCTCAGATTATCTTCTTTTTTTTGTGGTCTTCTTGGGATCGTCCATGTACCGGTTTTTTTCATACTTTCTGTGTCGTTGGCAATTATTAGTTTTATTACGTTTTCTCCTCTCTCCGCTCCCCCCCCCCCCCCCCAATCTCTCTTTCTCCCTCCCCCACCTCTCTCTCTCTCTCTCTTCTCTCTCTCTCTCTCTCTCTCTCTCTCTCTCTTTCTCTCTCTCTCTCTCTCTCTCTCTCTCTCTCTCTCTCTCTCTCTCTCTCTCTCTCTCCCGATTTCTCTTTCTGATACTTAAATGCACATTTTATGCTCTTTCTAGTACTTGCATCATCAAAATGACAAACTGACATCCTTTCATTTTCAAATTGGTCAGGTCCATATTACGTTTGCCCAAAGTTCAGTGTACCGACCCAGAATACATGTATCATCAGAGTGACAAACTGACATCCTTTCAAATTGGTCAGGTCCATATTATTATTACGTTTGCCCACAGTTCAGTGTACCGACCCAGAATACGAGCACAGAAAAACTATAGGGTTGTTTTCCTACAATAATTTCCTTTTTTGCCTGTCCTTCCCATGTTGTTTTGTTTCCGCAAGGAGCCCATCTTGGTTCATGCAGTTGTGCGGTTCTTCAGAGGGTTTTTTTATGTAAGTGTTTTATGACCCCAGCGACACTCTCTAGATCATTCAAGAGGAAGGCTTCGACTCAGCCTGTCAAGGTCAACTCGGGCTGAGAGGAATACCACCCAGGGAGACCGAGATACTCGATAAAATTTATCCCCGCACAGAAATCAAACTCGCGTTATTCCTGCGTGTGACAGCCAAGGGTCCAGCCGGAGACGAGCTTATCTAGATACGAAAAGCTCGTCTCGGCCATGTTATTTGCAGTGGCGGTGGGTGGACCCAAATTTGGGTGGGGCTTAGGTTTCTTCCACTTTTTTTTACCTCCAAATCGCAAGCAATATCACGGCGTGCCATGGCATTTTGAGGAGCAATCAAACGAGGCGAGTCACTTTTGTCTTCCATCTCTTTGTTTAAATTCCTCTGGATGGTGGGGACGAAGCCGTTTCACCTCCAAATTTCTCTAATTAATTTTCATCTAATGAAAAAGTTGCCTCAAAAGTGGTTTGATTAAATTAATAACTGTTAAATCTCAGCGGCACACACACAAACATACTCATAAAGCACTCCAAACATAATACCATCTATTCGATGGATTAGGCAGTGTAGTCACGGAAAGTACAGCGCACAACAAAGGTCCAATGAACGCATAGGTAACTGTGTCACTGAGGGAAAGTGTGTCGTAAACGTTCACCCCATTGTCAGGGCTAGGAGAGCGTGAGCCCCCTGTGCAGTGTTGTTGTTTTTTTCAAGTCTTCTACCTTGTTACAAGAGAGTTTTCTTTATGGAGGGAGCATGGGAACAGACTTATCTTTTCTGAGCCCTAAAGACATTTGATTGGCTGTTAAGTTACTATAGTTGTAAGCGTTGACAACAGTGGTTGGATAAACGAGCAAGCCGCCAAGTTGATTACTTTGTGATCTTTGCGTGCGATCATAACGGTTTCAACAATATTTTGTTATTTTAATTTACTTAGGGATCGAGTTGGGGTGTGCGGTTGGGGGTGGGGAGGTGGTCTCAAACCCGTGAGCCCTTCACTACCCACCGCCACTGGCTGTGTCCCAAAATGACGAGCTCTTGATTCCCACAACTGACGCTGGATTTCACCACGTTGTGACATTAATTATTATGTATGGGGCTTTTGTGGCCTCGAAGTTGAGGTATTCGCCTCTCATTCAATAAGTCCCAGGTTCGAATTTAAGAATATAGCGAAGGAAATTTTTCTTCTCTGAAGTTAACTTAATTGTCTCTTTATTCACCTCTTTTCCTGCTCTCCAGCAATGTTCTGTCGTTTGCCTTCGTCTCCACTTTCTGCCCCCACCCTTTCGCCTCTTTTGCCCCCTCCTCTGGGCCCGGTTCTTTCTGTCGTTTTTCAACTGCTACTCCTTGGCTCCTTCTTACTGCATGCTATCTTTCAGTTTCAGCAACACCCCTGATCTTATGGTTGGAAAGATCTACACCTAGCCTTCCGGGCAAACTTCAAAATTTCCTAGGCCTATCAACTGAAAATATTTAAGTTAATGTGTCCCCCGTGCATTACTACTTTATGCTGTTGCGAGCAACAAAAAAAATCTATATATATGTGACACATAGATAGACAGACAGACAGACAGATAGATAGATAGATAGATAGATAGATAGATAGATAGATAGATAGATAGATAGATAAATAAAAGAAAAAAAGTTATGAAGAATAAAATAAACTAAAGTAACAAAATATAGGCCTATATAGCTCTCTCCACTTATTCTCAGCTCCACCCCACATAATAATATCCTTTTCTCTGTGTTCTCCATTCAATCTTGACCTGTCTCTTTGACACACACATACACACTCTCGTCCCCCCCCCCCCACACACACACATAGGCCTACATTGCACATACCCACACACATCCACACACTCTCTCTCTCTTTTTTCTCTCTCTCTCTCTCGATCTCTCTCTCTCTCTCTCTCCCTCACACACACACACACACACACACACACACACACACACACACACACACACACACACACACACACACACACACACACACAAGCACCCGAAGCTAACAAGTATCGTCGGGTCAGACCAACTTCTTTGAGTCGGACCATAGAGCTATCTGGTGCCCATTGTGTACATCTAGTATGGGTCAGACAGATGAATTAACTTGCACTTTTTGTACCATTATCAAGTTAAATAAAATAAGGGGGTAGGCAGGCTTACCATAGATTGCCGATAAAGCTAAACAATGAACCAAAAATATATATGAAACAATCCTTTCGTGTCGCAGACTTTTACATGCGAAATCAAAGCAATTTATTTGGAGGCTTTTTCTATCCAGTGATTAATCTATTGAATGCTTTGATTGAAGGTGGTATCTTCATACTGAAATAATTTCTCAATTTACTAGAAGAAATAATGTTTGTTTCGCTGTATCCGAAAATGTAAACACGTGGAAATACGTAAACAATCCCTTTTGACCGGTAGTGACGTCGCAACCGATGGACGATCCCACTTTGTAGACAACGGAGACACCTACGCTGCTGAGTGTGTCCTCCACGGCTAAAACACAGGTTGGCTGACCTCAGTTCAATCGAATTGTATGGTCGCTGTGAAAAGCAGTATTTTCTTTACCAACGAGGAGAACTGCACAGCGGCTTGGTAAGTCAGAATGAGCGAAAGTACGGGAATCACCGTGCCTGTGGTGATTGAACCAGTCGACAGCCTGGATAGCTCTGTCGTGGAGGATGTCTCGCAACAGATGGGCTCAACATCTTTAGGCTCGGGGGTAAACGGCGACGAAGGTCCGATATCAGGTTCGGAAGCTCCTGTTGTCATTGTTGCCCCAACACTGCGAGTAGAGCAACTTAAAGGAAATGGGAGCATTCATGACTCTAGCTTTTGTACAAGCGAAGAAGAAGGCTTTCCTCCTGACTTCTCAGATGATGGTGATGGTGATCACTCTGGTAACAATAGCAGTGTGCCAGATTTAGCCCTGGATATTGATGCTCTGATTGACCCACCTGATGAAGAACAGCAGCAAAAAATCATCTCCCTAGTTGAATATTATTTTTCTGATGAAAGCATTCTTAAAGATGCATTCCTTCTGAAACATGTACGGAGAAATCGTTCTGGATTCGTGAGTATCAAATTAATTACGTCATTTAAAAAGATGAAGACATTGACAAAGGACTATCGTATTGTTGCTTATAGTTTGAAAGGTTCTGAAAAGCTTGAACTGAATGATGAATGTACCAAAGTCCGACGAAAGGATCCACTTCCTGATTATGATGAAACTGTTCCTTCAAGAACTGTTGTGGCCCTTAACTTACCATTAGAAAACCCAACTATGGAGAATATGGCTGAGATTTTCTCAAAATGTGGTAGCGTTGCAAATTTTCGCATATTGCGACCTGGTTGCTCAATTCCATCAGATTTGCACAAGTTCGCATGTAAACACCCTGAACTTGGATCAACAATGTGCGCTGTAGTTGCCTTTGAGCATTATGATCAAGCTAAAAAGGCTTGTGAAATTCTTACCAATAATGAGGACTGGAGAAAAGGCATGCGTGTCGTTCCCTTGATGGTGCCGAAGAGGAAGGAAGAGAAAGACAAAAAAGACCGCAAAGACAAGGATAAAAAGGATAAAAAGAAAGCAGGTGGGGAGTATGGTGAGGATGACATCTCTCCTGAGGAGGTTTCTGGTGATGACAAGAAAAGGAGAAAACGAGGTGGTCGCAAGAAAAAGACGCGTGTTGATCAGCTCTGTCATGATTCTTCATGTTATAGCAGTGGCTCTGAAGGGGATTCTCCTGCAAAGCCCAGTATTACATCTCCCAATAGGTACAGGAGTAGTGATCATCTCAGCCCTCATGTTACCCCTCCCCGGGGTGGTAGAAGTAGTCCAGTCGGCAGTCCTCACAACAAACGCCGTGGACCCGGGAAGTCTCCCCTGGTGGATTCAAACTCTGGTGTTAGTCCCAGGAGCAGCCCCGAGACTGTACGCAGAGGCATTGATTCATCTGGTGGAGACAGCACTCCGTCAAGCCCATGGGTGCAGAGGCGCCTCAGAGTTGCTCAGGAGAAAATGTCTGGTAGCAGTCCTTTGGGCAGTCCTCTTTTAGGTAGACGAAACCCAGATGGTACATTTATTCCTGGATCTGCTCCTAGAATGTTGGACATGACTAATGTGTTACGTCAACCTAAAGGTCCTGATGACACCAAAGGTTTTTACGGAGGCATAGGGAGAGGCAAACCTCGAAGCAGCACATTTACTTAATCTTGGTGATTGCAAAATGGTCTCTTCAAATTTTTTTCCTCAGCATCATGTTACAAACGTTCTGTTGTTTACTTCAAATTTTAATTGGTGTGTCAATGGATTGTGCTCTTTCATAGGTGTACAAAAGTGATTATTTTTCTTTAAGTGAAAAACAATTTTATGGCCTAAATTTTTAACTAAAATATTTTTTATTTAACAATGAAATTGAGATCATGCTATGCAGTATAGTAAACCAGTTTTTTTATACTGATTTTTAACATCTTATCACATTATTTACTTTTTCTTTTTTAGAAGTAAAACAATGGTACAGCAGGAGTAATTGATTTTAAAGTTTTAATTTCAGGATTTTTAGTTATAGAAAGCTTATTTCTGGTTCTCAGTTTTTACTTCTAAATATGTCTTGTTGTGTTTGCTTTTATCTGTTTAACTGCTATCATGTATGTGGTTTTCATGATGCAAAATTTTGAAAGTCAAATACTGAAAACCTGTATCATGTATGTTTGTTTATTTGAAGATTACATTTTAAAACACAGTTTTGTGTTCTTTTTTGAGAGGGAAAGGGTTGTCAAAAAGTGTATAAAATGAATCTGTAACTAAAGGGAGATATTTTGTAGTGCCGGTCCACTTGATGGTCTTCCAGTTTCTGTTTTACCTGACAGTTTACCACTGGACCGGTCTGACAACTGTTCTACTTGATGATGTACCCGTGTACTGTACTACAATTTACAATTTTAAACGGTTTCCTTTTAGGTTTATATACACAGGTTTGGGAGGGTCCATGGCTATATTTAAAATGTTTTGGCGGTTGTAGTTTGTCTTGAGGGGGTTGCTGCCTCCCTGATTTAGGAATTAATGTTTCAGGGTGTGGAAGTGTTAGTGTAAAATTACTCTGCTGAGGTCTTACATTAGAATGCATTATATCACAGTACATTGAGGTAGACTGATAGACCATGGTAAGTCAGATGGGACTTGTGGTAGACTGCATTGTCAGGGTAGACCGTCAAGTGGATCAACACTGATTCTATTTTCAACGTTTGAATTGCCTTTGAAAAATGTGCTGTGTAGCAACGAATGGTAAAAAAAAAAATTTGAGAAGATGGAGCTTCAGTTTGTCATAGATGGATTTAAAAGATTTTAAGAAATGTTCCCCGTTGTGAGAGATGGGCATTACAATGAATCACAAATAACGAATGTAGTCTCACATGTTCATTGAGGTGTAACATGTATTGTTTCATTCACATTATAGCACATTAAAATCTTAAACAGAATCAGCAGCCTTACATTACCCTAACTGCCTTTTTATTGTTCAGTTTCACTTTTAATTCATAAAATTGCATTCCATTGCTTTTACTTACTGCTCGAAGTTCTTTATGGTTAGTATGATGAAATTTATAAACTGCAATGTTATTATGGACCGTTTTTTACTTTTTAGTTCATAGAAAATGGTGCATTTTATTTGTTGCTCGAAAAAAAATTATTGTCGTTTTTGATCTGGAGTTAATTTTTAACGTGAAGTTTTTACGTGTTCTTTGTTCCTAAGCGCAGTGAAGAATTATTTAAAGTTTTGCATTCGTTTTGTTAATTATTTTTTACTTAAAGAGAAAAGATCTGGACATAATTCAATATTGCTTGCTGTCTTTGGGGTGGTTTTTTTGTTTTACAGACCCATTAATTTTCTAAAAGTTAAGTGCTGCAATAGAATTACATAATGTAAATGAAAAGGCCTGGGCCTTTCTAGTACCATCAGATTTACTTGAGCAACAGGTCACAGTCTTTTCGAGGGCTATTTTCCTCACAGGTTGAAGTTAAGCAAAAGAGTAAACTACAAAAGCAGAACCAGTTTGGTAATAAAAGGGGAGACTCATGAATTTAATCGTGTATCTCCATGTCACAGCTGTAGGTGTGAAAGAGATCCATTCTTGACCATACATTTTTTTGGATAGTCTTCTCAAGTCTTATAGATTTTAAATATAGTTTGTAGGTTCTTTCTTATCTCGTTTTTTTAATTGGATGGTGCATAGCTGTTTCAAAAGTGGGGGTTACCCAGTTGTTCTCCCATTATTCTTTAAATTTATTTTAAGTCTAAATGACAATGGGTCACCACATAAGTTGCAAAACCACTGCTGTCATTGTTGAAATGAGAGTCAATGGTGTGACTGCTGTTCTTTGTTAATGTAACTGTCTTTCTGTAACATTCTTACTCGTTTTATTTTTTAAAGAAAAACATTTATCTTTTAAGATTGACTGAAGTTTACGACACTGCTGAGTTTGTGTTTGAAAATTTTGTTTTAAAATCGTTAAGTTTTGCTTAGTTTTAAATGTTTTACACTTTTGAGGACTTGTCTTTCCTTCTTTAATAGTGTTGGAGAGTATAATCCTTGTATTACCAATGTAGAATGTAAAACTTCCTAAAGAAAAATATCATCAGCCAGTTGTTCAAATTAATGTACAAAACGCAAAATATTTTCAGTTTTTTTTTATTGCAGTTTTTTAATCTGTGGATTGGCTGCATATATGATATATATGCTCTTGGAATATTTTCTCAAAATTCAAATTCTAAATGTTGAAAAAAAAGCAAGAAAAGATTCATAATTACATAGATAGTATAGTATATATATATTAGGTACAATTTGTAAAAGAATTGAAACAGGTTTTGCTCTCTCCTGAAAAATTTTGCTTTCTGAACTTAGGACATTTTATCAGCGCGCCGGCGGTATGATTGTTTCTTCCTCTTATTTAAAAAAAAAAGCTTAATTTTTCATGTTTTGAGTTTGAGGTTTTCGAGTCAATATGTTCTCTGATAGCCTTTCTGTTGGTTTTACTGTAAATTTGTTAGCTTTTGTTTGTCTGGTATTGGTGTTTCTCTCCTTTTTGTTTTAACTGGCGTCAAAAGTGCCCCAATCTCATAAAATTAATTGTGATTGTTGCTCTGTAGAAAAAAGTCAGATAGGTAATACTGTTTGTGAGATACATGTATTCATCTTTGCTATTTTGCAGTTTGGTTCTAGTACAAGTTTTACAGCACCTGCAGCACAATCGGGTCATTATAAGTGCCGAAGAGTAGAGGTGTTACTGTTGCTAGAGAGTAATATATACAAAGAATAGGAGAAAGGATGATAGATGTTTGAAAGGAAAGAAGGAACAGTTTTGAAATATACAGATAGTGTATTTCAGTATTTGTCCTATTTCACTTTCATTTGAAACTGAAATATCTATCAAATGTTGCAAAGACTGAGAGAGAAAATTACCTGTCAGGGCAGTCCTGTAATGCTTGAGTGGTTTTGGGGAAGTATGGTTTCCTGGGGCATAGAGATTAGGGGTGATCAAGGTAGCTGATTTGATTGATGGTCTTTATGCATAAAAATAATTCTCTGCTGTTTGTGCAATGAAGTAGGGTTCAAGTCCATGTCCCATGTATTTATTTGCATTTCCTTTGTCAGTCTACTTCCAGTACCTGGTGGTCATTACTTTCCAACTGATCTTTTCTGTTATTTTTATTCTGTAAAGGTTCAGACTTAATTGCAGCTCTTTGTAAAGTACGAAAAAAGCCAGAGATATTTACATGAGTAGCTCTGTTACTCAGTTTCACTTTTTTAAAAATAAATCATAAGAGGTAATATTCTCCGTTTTCCACATACACATGCTAACAACTTTTCACAGCTCTGAAGCAAGCTTTATTCAACTTTTAAAGCTTAATGTACCTCTGTACAAAAGGATTACATTTTTAATATAGTCGGATTAGTTAGACTCAAATCATAATCATTTGATTTCTGAACAAAGATCTCAATCTCGTGTCTTTGTTCATCAATATGTACTCTTTGGTTTTGTTTCATACGAAACTCAGGTGGAAATACAGCTCAGCATGACAATGTGGAACAACCTTTTCTTGATATAAGGGTGTTTAATTAACAGTGAAGCCAACATAATGGTAGCTGTTTTTAAACTTTTGTTAAGCCTCATTGTTCAGACCTAGACAACTATTGGAGATTATAGGAGCTGGTCAGGGCCATGTTGTCAACCTTTGGTGCTAGTGAGGGGTGGGCAGGAGGGGCACGTGGTGTTTGTCTTTAAGATCACATACCCAGTACCATATATAAATACAATGAAAAAGAGACCGTAGGCCTCCACAGTGTAAATAGCTGAGGTTGATTTGAAGTGTCCGTAAAACTTAGTCCATAATGTCCTGTAGACAAGAAATCTTGTTTCGATTTTGGCATTTTAAAACACAACTTTGTACAATTAATCAGTGGTTAATTGCTGTAAGGTCTAAATTTTGGTCGCAATTTATTCTTTCTGACACTCATTGGTTTCTTCTTTGATCCATCTCCTCCTTAAAAAAATAGATTTATGTAAGAGCAACCCCACACATGCCCAATGACTGCTTTCATTGTTCTTTTATAACCATTTAGATTCAGCTCCTGTAGTTGGAAATATTACGTTTTGTGGTAGGCCCTACATTCTATTATTTTTATAGTTTAGTTCTTCTGTAAATCACACTCATCATTATGCTGTGTAATTGAGGGTGTGTCACGGTGAAGCTAAATGTTTCCCCTTGCAGCATGTTTTACTTCTACTCCAATTATTTCAGCTTTGAAGAAGATTAAGTTCTGCACTGTGTCAAATAGTTTTTCTTGCATAAACTGATCTTTTGTTGTTGAGGAAAAGAAACAGTACAAATTTTGGATGGATTTTCAAATTGCCTATCATTCAGATTTGCTTTCATACTCTGAGAATTTGCTATTGTATAAGATTATATATATGAGTTTCGATATATGCCCAATTTCTGCAGTCTTCCAGATTAGTTGCAGGTACTATTTTACCTTTGACTGTCACCTCCTCACAGGCTCTGGGAATGGGATGTCACTGAAAATATAAATAGGCCAATAGTAGAAAAGATTATCTGTGATAAGGGCTTTAATTTCACAATTGAAAACATATATAAAAGAGAGTAATGCATGGATTTTTGAGACATGTTCTTTTCTGGTGATTGACTTACATTGAGTCATTGTATATATATATTATCATGTGTTTTAGACCTATGAGTGTCAGAAAGAGTTGCATGACTTTCTTTACTGTGGATACTCAGCTTGAAATCAAATTATTATTGTAATTGTAAGTTTATACTATATATTTTATCGCTGTTGTTGTACTTAATTTCACACGATGTACACATAAACACTCACTCCATCACAAACATATATTTTAAAAACTTTATTATTTTAATACAATTTTATGGGAAGTGGGTCAAAATGTTATTACCAAACTGAGAGTAAATTTTATTTTGGTACATCTTCTAATGTGTGGTTTTAATTGAAAAAGAGAAGAAGTTATTTATAATATCGTAGGTTACCTTTCAATATTGATATTTTGGATTTGTCTTTTCAATGAATTGTTCTTGACACTGGCATTTAGCAAGTCCATCATATATGTGTGTATTGTATGCATGTTCCTTAGCAATAGCTACAATTTATTATTACAAGACAAGGACATGCATCTCATTGACTCATTGTAATAAATTTGCTGCATATTACAGAAATGGCAAAATTGTGTTATGGGGGAGAAATGGAAATGGGATTTTTATTTTTCATCAGTTCAGACTTAAGTGCTCTTGCAATTTTTGTGTTACACTCGCGACCCCCTTTAACCATTTTTTTAAATTCTGGAAAGACCAGTAAAATAGCAAAAGCTTTCTTTTAAGATACCGGTAATCTTCAATGCAATTGAGACTTTGAACTTGATATATGATTATCTATCTTGAATTTTGAAATGCACTCTTTAGTTTTTTTGTTTGTTGGTAAAGTAGATTTAGATGAATGAGTGCCATGTTTCCAGTGTCTTGTATCTATAACCATCTAGTCTTGTCCTGAAATTGGCATATATCATTTTATGCTAATATGTCCAGTATTCCCTCACTTTCATGGAAAGTGTCAAGGCTTTGTTTTGAAGCATTATTTTTCTGATATAAATGATGAAAAGCTTTTCTTTGGGCCTCTACGCAAACTGTATTTTACTTACAATTATTGTTTTTGTATTATGTGTATTTATTATTAATCATTATGCATCTGTTGTTACTGTTATTGAAGCAAAAACATTCCATTTCTTGTTTAATTATCATATTATCATTGTTTCAAGTTTATTGCCATGAGGACTTGTAACTTGTTACCTTATTTGAGTTGGGGTTTTATTTATTGGGTTTATTTTGGGGGGGGTTCTTGCTGAAGTTGTACTTGATTTGCCTCAAGAATTTTGTTTTTGGCAAATTTTCATATTATCCACTTTCTTCACATGACAAACCGTATCTCCACAACAGTCTTTTTATTTCAAGCTTTTAAGATATTCAAAACATTCAGTGATTATTTTCCCTTCTTTTTTGTTTAGTTATTACTCTCTCAATGAGTCTGTGATGGACAAGTCCGCCTGGTGACCATTGAGAATCCTTTTATTTCCATACTGCCTTTTCATTTTAGCTTTTGTTATACATTCTATTAGTGATTTCACCAAGTTCATTGTACTATGATGCCTTCAATTAATGTGCCAGGCTTGTGCATTGAAAAGTAAGTAAATACTCTTTCTTTCTCCCTCCCTCTACTCTTTCTATCACCCGTTCTCCTTCTATCTCCTCCCCCCCTCCTTTCTTCCTCTCTCTCTCTCCCTCTCATCCTCGATCTCTTTGTTCCTCATTGTTTTCCTACATTCTGTGTTATTTTATCTTGGCCAACTAGGTCATTGTTATAGATTACATCTATATTGTTCCCAGAATCGCTTGTGGTTTTGGCTTCTGTTTTTGTGTTTCCTGTATAAGTGGAATGTCATGACTGGGATATTTGGATAAAGATATTATGTGTGGTGTCCTTGGAAAACCAAACACATCATATTTTGGCATCTTTTTATAATGAATGTTGCCTTTTATGCATGCAAGCCTTTAATTTGAGTTTCACATTTTCAACAGTAAATACTAAAAGTATATCTCCTCATTAGTCAGAGTTATATCTTTTTTTAGGTGATGAACCATTCTATCTTTTAGCAGGGATTGAGAAGAGCACATTTTCATTTCAACTGAGGCAACTATTTTCTTGTGTCTTTCTGGGGCAAAGTTACTTATTTACTACAAATATGTTAAATCTGAATGTGAAGAAAGTGAGCTCTCAAGCCATACCAAACATGATGAGTGAGTTTCTGGAAATTGATTTGATGATGCTGACTCTTAATCTTTGTCAAAGTTCAAGAATGTCAAAGGGTAACCCAGGAAATAAAAGTAGCTTTAAAACAGTTCTTGGGCATTATAATTACTATCATGAGAAAGAGAAAGAGGGGGGGGGGGGGATGTGGGTTCAAATTTAGTTCTACTTAAAGTCCATGCTTTATGGTTTTCGGGCTCTGTCCCAAATAACAGCTGTGTGTCTTCCATCTGGTTTAATCTGGTTTTCCCAGGCCACCTCTCATATGTGATCATGATGTTTACATTTTGCTCACTATTTGTTTCCAGTTACTCATTGAATTTTCATACTATATAATTTAATATATGAACTGCTGATTTACATATTTTTGTTACTTTTATTGATATATCGGTACCCTTGCAAAGCTGTAACATCAGAGCAGAGGTAAAGTAAGAGTTGAATACTATTGTCGTTTGAACTGGTGACTGGGTTGTTTCATCGAAGCAGCTTTTGCCTTCCCAAACATATCAGTATCATCGCTTTTTTATCTATAATTTGGCTTGTGAGCAACTATGTCTTTGTAAGACACCAATTAGCTATGTACGGCATAATTATGGTTGACGATTGGGTTCTACTGCTTACATGACATTGCCACACTGCTCAATCCTTTAAAAAAAATTTTTTTGGTTGAAAATATACACAAATGCTTACAGTTCGTGAAAAAATCAATTTATTAATACCCCTGTTGGTCCAGCAATAATTGATCAGTGACCTCATTCATCATAGCGACAGTGGAATATGTTTGGTCTTTCCTTGACATTGCAGCTAAAGCTGCCTTTTCTCATTACTTTTTTCTTTTTCTTTTTCTCGTGACTTCTTGAGTGGAGCTCCTCGGTGTTTGTAATTTGGAAACTTAACGTAATTTTGTGCTCTGAGCAAGTAAGACAAGCATTTAAAAACAGATTTAGTTTTATGCTTTATGAAAAGGTGAGATAAATGCTTGAAAACAGTTTTACAGATGCCTGCTGGGTTTTTATGTTGAATGATCTTGTGTTAAATTTCAAACTGTTGCCTGTGTTTCTGGGCACAACAATATTATGTAATTCTATGAAAGAAAAAAATGGAAGTGAGAGCCCGAAAATCCTTGCCCGTCACTTCTGTAGCTGATCTTTAAAAGTTATTTCAGTCACCATCTCCTCACTGTCATATATATATTATTTTGAAGTGT